ATAATAGTCACATCCTCTACCGAAATATTTTCGCTAACGCTTGGATTCCTAGTACCCGTTTCTTTAATAGTTCGGAGCTATTGTTAACTGTTACCTATCGCTGCTTTCTTTTATTTATCTTACTTTCGTTACGCACCACTGTCCGCGATCATTGTATAGGCTTTTTATCAAGTTGCGCCTAAACTGACTTTGCTTTTCGTCACGTTTAGAGCCAGGCAGAATGAGTTTCAAAGCATCTATCAGTCCAATTGATGCTACTGAGATCCGGCTTCTGCCTAACCCTAGGGATTACCTTACAAGCAGACATCACTACTGTTTCCACAGCCTTTTGGATATCATTCTAAGCTACCTCGGGAACCACTAACGTGGCCACCTAACAGTTCTGCTTGTTCCTGAAATTTATTCTTAACTATGCTATCATTAAGTAGCACCCTAAGATGTTTCCTTGTGATGTCTTTCTAACATCCAGTAAAGCGCAGACAAATATGCGCTCGTACTAGAGTATGATCCGAATCTAAACATGTGCTCCAGAATGAGCAACAGTCTTCCTTCGAGCCTCTCCATCGGCGGCCGTGAGCGATGTCATCTAGTTTGGTCCAACATTGGGACGAGTTTGGAGATCGCCAGGTGAAGAGATGTGCTTCATCGTGTTTGCAGTTATTATTTGCTTGAAATAGGCGATTTTCTGAGTGTAGCTGCAGCAGAAGTTCGCCATTATCTGTTCTGTGAGTCGCAACGATATAAGATCCACTCATGTGTCTTTCCATTTTGTTCGTCTACCTGTTTAAGCATTAAAGCCATTCAGCCACCATTACTACATCAGAGCGCCTAACTTTTAACAGGAGGTTCGAAAGATTTCTGTAGAACTCATGTTTCACCTCGTCTGAACTGCAGTCGGTGGGAGCGTAGTCAGGGACGACGTAGAGGCAACGGCGAGTTTCTCTATTTTTAAGAAATCCTACTGTTACGTTTTAGTCAAACAGCACACGAGCGGCTATCTTCTGGGATTCACTCTAGTAGAGGTATTTCTGCCCTAGGACTCAATGCTATACTTCCCGGCTGCCCACACCATGGAAGGGTGTTTGCCGAGGAACCTGAAAAGCATGGCCGATTCGAGTTGGTCTTAGAGACCTGGGAGGGTGACTGCAGACCCCAACGGACAACTGCTTGAGCCCGGTTGCACGCATGGAAACATGGCCAGTAAGAGTTGAGGATACTTCTAGGTTATTAGTATTCGATTACAGGCGTCTTCGAAGGATTGCTCGTATACCCTGGGACCACAGAGTAAGGTAAAGATGGCAGATCAATAGTTGAAGTGTTAAAAATCTATCAGTTTAGGTGGTTGGGACACGTGTTACGTATGCCCAACCACCGACTGCCTCGACAAGATATGTTTCGTGATGTAGGAATAGGTTGGAAGAAAGCTAGGGGCGGCCGAACCGGAACATGCCACAAGTCCATCAGGTCACTGTCAACTGGACTGAGCTGTGTCGGTAGGGCTCCGTGAGACGTCAGTCACCGATGGATAGAGACCTTGAACGACCTGGCTCAAAATTGTTTGCACTGGCGTAGGTGCATTAACTGTTTGTGTTCCCTCGATTTCTAATCTTCAGAATTCTTCATCTTTTTCTCTTTCTAATGTTATCTCACTGTACTTTACTTCTTGAATAATAGTTTCGATCCCTAATATTCTCCTTTACCTCTTTTTCTTCTACTACCTCCACCACAATGGGATTTGAGTTGACGATTTCGTCTCTGTGCTAATATCGTATGGAAACCTGAACCTAGGTATTTACTTACGAAATTCGACGTTGTGACTGATTGACTGACTCTCTGGTCGCTCAAAGCCTTTTTGTGAGAAGTATACAATGTGTTAGTTCGCTGTTCATATATCCTAACCACCGGAAATGGAAATCCCTGAGGTAAAGTAAGGCTTTACATCTTTAGGGTCAACCTTTCACTAACCTCTTCCTTGTAAGGGGGCAGCATCGTTGCATGTGCTAGTTGTCCGAGGGAAACACCTTACTACTGTCACACCGCTCTGCAGTCGGCATTACGACTTTGCGCTCAGACCTTGAGTGGCTGCTTCTAGTCTTATCGTTCTCCAGTCGACCTGCCTGGCATGGTAGAACCTAAAGGAACATATGTTCCAGTCCATACAGCTCGTCTGGGTCGTCACGATGTGTATGTCGGATCGTCACGTCAAGGTAGCAGCTACGGTCGTGGTCATAAGCTTTTATTCTAATATATATGAATTTGAACAATAATGGCAATGATCATAATGATTATAATGAATTAGAATACATAACTCAACATAACGGCCTTGAAAATTGAGATTCATAGAATGGGGATAGGGGTACAAATACGCATAAGAATAATAAAAACCTCAGTCAACATAAAACAATTTGATCGTACTAGAATAAATAGGCTTTTAAATATTATTTCGTACACACAGTTCCCTTTGTCATCTTGAAGAGAGTAAAAATGAAAATGCAAGCAAAATAACATGAATTCATTTTATTTCGTTTGGTCCTCGTCAGCTGCTTACAAGCTGTAATATTTAAAATCATAATCACAAAATGGGTTTAAATTTCTCATACGAAAGAGTTTAGTTGGATGTTAAGATGATCGTTATAGTATAGCATGGGTGTAAATGATTTTAATAGACTGAAGTCAGTCAGATGCAACGTAGAACTTTGTACATAAGTACATCAGTTCATGTTGCCATACCACATCAGCACAGAGAAGTAATCGTCAATTCAAATCCAATAGTAGAAGAGGTAGTAAGGGAATTAGAAATAATCGGAGAGGTTAGGATTAGAAGATACTACTCAAGAAGTATGATTCAGTGAGAAAAGTTTACAAAGTCAAAAGAAGAGGTGTTGAAGAATCCAGAAGATTAGCATTTGAGAGAACACAGAGAATAAATGCACTGGCGCCATTGCGAACGATTTTGAGCCATGTCATTCAAGGTCTCTAACCATCGATTATTATCATCTCGCGGACCCCAACCAGGTAGTCGACAATTAATAGACTGAATGTAAGATTACAAATTTCATGCTCTACGCAAAGAACACTCTTACTTTATGAATAAATGCTGATGAAAGGAAAAGATAAAATGAGTAAAACTCAGTTAAAATAAGATTACTAGTTTCGAAGGCACTAAACGAAGACTAACTGAACCTTATTCATTATGGTTCTCTGAGCTGGATGTTTTGGTTGTGGAGCTTTCGTTTTTTTCTGAACAACATCATCAGCAGAAACTTCTGACAGAAGTGAAGCATTCGAATTTCTCCACGTTTGACCTGTAGCTTGTTCTGCTAACCTCGATCTTGATTGGTTGCTATTGACCTTTAAGCTGTCATTGTTTGCACCTTTGTTTTGATTGTATCCCTCTTTTGATCTGCTTCTTGATACTAGTCACCTATCATTTCCCTGATTGGTCGACAAACTGGGTCAATGTTGATGTGTTTGTTGATTGCTGATTGACCTGAGTGCCTAGCTTCTAAAAATTCCCTAGTGTTCTTTGTGCTCTCCTTATCCCGTATTTCACACTGTTCTAATCGAATATTTGTCCATGATTGTCTGTATGTATTAATGTAAGCGAAGAATCATCGTTTCGTTTGAATGCTGATTGGTATTCATGTAAACAAAGCTGAAGAGGCCATCCACTTTGACCTATGTAGTGTTTTTCACAGTCTGAGCAATTTATTTTGTAGATGATATTTGGTTTTTCTTCATTTGTCATTTTGTCCTTTGGTCTACATAGGATTGATTGAAGTGATTCTGTTGGTTTGAGCGCCACCCCTATTCCAAATGGTTTCAGTGGTCGTGCTGTATGTTCTGATATGTCTTTTATGTATGGTAGGATAATCCGTTTATTGGTTCCTGTACTTGATTTCACTTCTGTTAATGATTTCGGTTGATGTTTTTTGATGAAGTTGCGTGGATAACCGTTCTTTTGGAAGATAGTCACAAGGTGTTTTTCCTCGTTTTTTAGTGCTTCGTATGGGCTGCAGTGTCTTCGCTCTCTTGAACAAAGTTTGTATGCAGTTGATTTTGTGGGTTCTTGGGTTGTTGCTATCGTATTTGGCAATTACGTCTGTGTGGGTTGGCTTCCGAAAAACTTGACTTCCCAGTTTTCCTGTGTTAGTTCTGGTGATTAGTACATCCAGGAGTGATAGACCGTTGTTTGATTCCTTTCCCATCGTGAATTTGATGTCATCGAAGACGCTGTTGATCTGATTATACATGTTCTCCAGCTCGTTCCTTTTGATAATGACAAATGTTTCGTCTACATAACGAATCCACATTTTTTGCTTGATCACTGGTAAAATCGACGCTTCTGGTCTCTGCATTACAGCTTCCGTGATGAGTCCTGATATTGGTGATACCATTGGTGTTTCTTTTGTTTGTTCGTAGACTCTGTCGTTGACTACGTTGTTAAGCATAGATCGATGAGTTCAAGCAGACTTTGACTCTGAATCTTTGTATATTTGTGCAGATTTGTGTCGTTGATGAGGAGCAGGGAAAGAGTTTCATTAGCTAAGCTTGGCTCTGTTGAGGTGAATAAGGCTGTTACGTCGAAGGATATCATCGTTTCATCGTCATCAATTTGAATCCCTTATTTATTTTACTTATCATCAGTGTTTATTACAGTTGCAGTTACAGATTCAAACTATCGTGTTAAAGCTGTTGATATTATGCGGTTGCTCAAATCAAATTATATTTGAACCTATGACTTATTGGTTGAAAGCTGAATATCTAACTTGTAATTTTTATCCTAGCTTACATATCAGATTTTATAAATGAATTCGAACTCAACCCAAACTCAATTCACAATAGTTTCATACCAAACATACTATTAAAAACATGTAGATCGTGCCCCTTCTAACCAGTTTATTTCCTTTTTGATTTGTCAGATTAAGTTAAACTTGGCATTAGGATGTGCTTATTATGTGTTACTAAATATTTGTTTCTCATTTCTAATCTAAATATAGGTTTGTTACAGTTGTGTGACTTCATAGAGGATTGTGAACATGTTAAACTAACGCAGCGTATACTCCATCTATTGGGAAGGGAAGGACCATACCTCAAACACCCTCGTCAGTTTACACGTTACATTTACAATAGAATTATGCTCGAATCAGCTCCTATTAAGTGCACTGCCACAACAGCTCTGGCTAGGTTTGCTGCACACAATGAGGAACTACTTCCAAGTATTCTTGTACTTCTTAAACGGTATACAGAATTTTCTGTTTTATAAATTTTTGTGAATTTTTGTTCATATTGAGCTTTGTTAGATTTGGCAATATTGATTCGTAATAAAGTTGAATATTCCAGTAATGTGAAATTCAGTATAGTTTTTATAATGCGAGGTCTAAAATTTAATTCGAGTTACTATTAACAAAGGAGGATTACAAAAAGTCTGGCACATTTTACTGTAGGGATGGGTGTTAAAAAACATCCGGTAATTTTATGTTTTTGAAAGGCTCAAGCGTGACGTTTTGTCTACCGGCTGATCTGGGAGTTTAGTATTCAGCGCTTCACATTTTGTCATTTCAGTCAGTCAGTTAGTTACAACGTGGGACTTGGTACGTATGTACACAAGTTCACGTTGTCATTACCACATTAGCACAGAGAGATGGGATTGTCAGTTCAAATTCCATATTAATTGAGGTTATATCAATATTGGCGGTAATGAGAAGGATTAGAGACCGAAGATATGATTTGAGGGTATTTCGAAAATAATTGAAGCTATCTTCGAATTGACATGGATCAGTAAGCTAATTATTAAGTATCTATTTGTTCTGCAACTCAGATTCTACTGCTATCTTCCCACTGAAGATCAATAGTTGCTTTTGACAAAAAGTACTGTGACGCTCACTACTAAGCTGCACTCGCCCTAGTTAGATTATCTACGCTTATGTCTTAAAGTAGTTCGAACATTGAATGAGTTTTTAGGTGTTGTCTCAGACTATTCCTGAAACAATATTCTACTTTTAGTTGGGGATAAAGACATCCGAAACATGCGTGCATTGTTGCTGAAAATAGTCAATGGTCAATGGCATCCTTACCAAACTGAATTACATCATCCTCCATTTCTCAATGAACAAGTAAGTTTGCTCATACAGCACCGATTACTAACAAATCAGACAGTGAGGACGGTATTATCCAAAGGATGTCTGCAAAATAGTGGGGAAAGCGGTAACCTCTGACGAACACCGTTGAACGCTATCAATTCCGGTGATAGATCGCCATTACCTGTAACTGAAGCGGTAGTGTTTGACAATACTAGTTAGTCTGAATAAATCAAACACGAGAGGAATTGTCATGATTTTCAAACATTAGGAAACAAGTAGCTCAGAGATTTGAACAGAGCACATTGAGTGTTTATCACGGTAATTTATTGTTTATCAGTTTACACAACAGTATTATGAACATGAATGCAAAAGACAATTACATCAAAAAGCGTTTATTGGTAAGCAGTGCAATCAAGCGCTGGCACGTTTTTTCTCGTATTTGCTTTACGAAAATTTACACGTACTTTGATTTTATGTAGCATTTTAAACTTAATTTTTTTGATGCTGTGTGACCTCATGTCGTCAGCATAAACTTCACATGAGCTACGAGTTTTCTGCATTTCAGAGCTCATATTCATTTACTAGTCATTGAATGATTTTAGTTTGGACAATATCAGTGACTCATTGCGCTATTGTTTTTTCTTTGAATCGATGCTTTTTGTTGTCTCATCCTCCAAATAATCTTTTTTTTCTGATTTCTCCACTGTCTAGAATTATGATTGACGAAGATGATGAGGTTCGTGATCGCGCAGCTTTCTATCATTATATTTTATCAACTAACCAAGTAGCACTGAAATCTGCTTACCTTTTGAATGAGGAAATGCACCTAAGTCCATCTGGTTTAGAGCGTGCCTTACTGGATTATGTACAAAACTCTCACACAGTCGCTAATAGTCCTTTTTCTTTGATGGCAGTTCCAATAGCTGATGTTCAGCCAAATGATCTTAGTTCTATCATGGAATCAGATATTATAAAAACTAAAAGTAAGTAAAACCGACTTATGTATATAGTAGTGAACCGATTCAGTTATCGATGAGAACTGTGTTCGTTCAAACAATTGTTGCTGAGTTAAAGATGATATCGTTTATATGAGCCGTTCTGTCTATAGTTGTTGCTATAATAGTTTTAATATATATTCTTATCTTTCATCATCTCATCAACAGTATGTTTCTCTGGAAATATTCAAACTAATCTATCAAACCTCTTGAAAGTAAACAGAAGCAAAATAGTTAATGATCTCTATTATAATTTCATGAAGAAATTCACTGTAAGCTAATTTAGTTTGTGAAAATAGACTACTTAAACATTGCATCGATAGTTTTTGTTCAACACTAAGTAACTAAAAACTATTAGCAGTAATCGATGCACTTCCACTTTTTATCATTCTCTGCTGTTAAATATATTAATAAGTGTAGTCCTGGGTTTCTATCCTGTCTCTAGTTCAATATTTTTTAAAATTATTTTGCAATTTTCATGACCATAGATTTGTCTATTTTCTCAATAAACTCTAAAGTTATCCTTTTTTTTAGCTAAACCTACTGCGAGGGTTGGTGAAAGTCGAAATACAACGTTTGCTTCTCAGATGCCAGGAAGACGTATTCCAGATTCATACGCCGAACAGCTGGCATCTATACCAGAGTTTTCCCGGCTTGGCTCCATATTCAAATCTTCCTCCCCAGTAGAATTAACTGAATCTGATACTGAATACGTAGTAACATGCATAAAACATTTATTCTCAAAGCATTTAATCTTGCAGGTAAGTCAGATTTTAGAATACTTATTCGTAAGCTTAAAGCACTTCTAAGTTAATTGATGAAGCCTATTTGGTTCGAGAGTATAAATTCTGCTCTCGATCTTAAAAGCAGTGGAGATGAGTCAGTTTGTTGGAACCACAGTTCATGCATGATCGCTGACTATTAATTTCTAGTCCCATTTTCATAAGAATACGATTCTTTGTTCCATCTTTGTGTTGTGTAAACAATCTTCATTCGTCTTTTTTAGTCGTATCACACAATGCAGTACAGCTTTCTGAGTTAATGTCGTATAGAAGTGAGTAATGTTCTGTCTGTTCTGTATTAACTATGATTTCATCCAACCATTTTTTCAGTTCGATTGTGTCAATACCATGGAAGACCAAGTCTTGGAGGATGTCTACGTTTCATGCGAACCAGACGATTCTCTGTTCAATATTGTTTGCACAATACCTTGCAAAAGCTTGAAATATAATTCTTCTGGTGTAACTTATGTTCTAATTGACTTGCCGGAAAACCTGGAGTGTCATTCTGCTACATTTATGAACACATTGAAATTCACTATCAAAGATGCTGATTGTGACCTTTCCGATCCTGGTTTATCAGATGAATATCAAGTAAGATATCTATGGACCTCTATAACACTCAATTAAAATCTGTGTTACGTATAGTACCATAAGCTTTAATTTTGTAAATATAACGTATTTTTCATCAAGTCATTTTGCAAAATAAATCCTGAAATCAGCATGTTAAGACTGTTTGTATCATTAAACATTTTATAGAGAAGTGTGACTGTTCTGTAACTATCTCGTGTGTTGAATTTATGCAGTAATTAATTGAAAGAAGCACAATCATTTTTATGGCGAACATTGCCCTAATGAACTCTGTTAAATGTTTTCTAAATATCTTACCAGGAATTTTACAGGAAGTATTTTTTCCGCATTATATACCTAAGTATGTAGTTGTATGACTCAATTATAACTATAATACTGGGAAATCAGTAGAGGTTTAAAGGAGCGCGTTACTCCTATAAATATCAGTTTAAATAATAACAAATATAAACATTTGACTTGTCTTTTATTAGAAACTATTTGAACCTCACATGTCTAACAAACATTCATTGTTTCTTAACCAGTATCTTACCTGTGATCTGAAAAATATTGAACATTTGTGACGAATAAAATACTAAATGATCCTTATAAAGTCGCATCAATACTCTCAATTCACTCAATTTGTAGTTTTTAAAACTCATATTTGTTCAAATATTGTAGCTAAGTTCAACAAGTTGATTTCTTTTGTTCCAGTAATCAGTAAACCATTTGCAATCATGCGTTAGTGAATCAAGCTGAAATAAACTTTGTGTTGCTTCAAACATCAAAAAGTGTCACTAATTAAGATTTTCCTAGGATATCTAATTTTGCAGTACATATATAATACTCCATATCCACTTTTATGATACCTCAGTTTTTAACACTTCCTAATTTTTATAACAGTTGGAGGATCTGGTCCTAGGTATCTCAGACCATGTTCAAGGCGTTTCAAAACAGAACTTTACAATGGCTTGGCAGGAACTCAATCCTGAAACTGAGGTAGAGGAAACCTATATGCTACTGAAGCACAAAACAATTAAAGGTAAACGAAACATTATTATTGAAATTTTGTCTGATATTTTCTTAATCTATCACTGAACTAAATGACCAAGGAATTACAATAATATGATAATCTATTATGTATAGCAAAGTGTGAAGACTCATACTGATAAAGTCAAATATATCCATAAATCCACTAAAATAGTTGGTGAGGTCGATAAACATAGTACAATAGATGAGGTGGTTGGGACATGTGTTGCGTATGCCTAACCACCGACTGCCTAGTCGAGCTGTTTTGTGTTGTAGGAATAGGTTGGACGAAAGCTAGGGGCGGCCAGACGGAAATATGACAGAAATGCATTAAGTCACTGACAAGTAGACTGCGCCATGTCGGTAGGTGTCGACTTCCTGGTTGGTGTCCGCGAGATGATAGTAATCGATGATTATAGACCCTGAATGACATGGCTCAATACCGTTTGCAGTGGCACAGGTGCATTCATTTTTGTGTTCTCTCAAATCCCAAACTTTTTAATTCTTCATCACTTTAAGTCTATTTCGCTAGATTCTTCTTCCTGCTGCTACTACGACTACTGCTAATACCTCTACTACTATTGGATTTGAGTTGACAATGTCATCTCTGTGCTAATGTGGTATGGCAACATGAACTGATGTACTTACGTACGAAGTTCTACGTTGCTATTGATTGAAACATAGTGCATTACTTTATATTTTACGATAAAGAAACTCTATGTCTTCTTCGAATCTTCGCAATAAGAATCTTTTGTATTTTGAAATTATATGGGGATCTCAGGGCTGTACTATTTTATAATTACCCATAATCTTTAGGACCTACTGTTATTTTGTTCGATGGAAATGTTTAGTGGCTTTTACACATTGTTTCATTAACATGAACTGTTGAAAGCTGATTTCTTTTATGATGGATTTCGCCTCACTTTACTTCATCGACGGAGTTATTACTTTAATGTAATCAGCTCTTAAATTACTTTGGCCGGTATTTTTAATAGGATGCTACTGAATTTTTGAAATTCTACAGGTTCCTTGCAGAACAGGGCCACCCTATCTATGTAGCTTTTTATGATCACTAAAAACTTTATTATTAAAACGATTTTTACAAGTATGTATGTTTCAAATCTTTTTTCAAGTTAAATCACTGATTATTTCTCTACATTTTAGAAACAATGCGTCAAATTATCGAACACCTCGGACTTCAGCCCTGTGATCAAACTGACCAGATGCCTCAAGAAGGGAAGTCATCTCATCAGCTGCTTTTGTCTGGAGTTTTTCGTGGTGGATTCCAGGTTTTAGCCCTATGTAAACTTGCCAAAGTGTTGTCCGATGCATCCCCTCATTCTAATGAACAGGGAATAACCTTCCAAATCACGGTACGATCATCTGATCCTGTTGTTAGCCGAATAATAGCTGACGCTATCGGTTAAGTTATTATATTGAAAGGTTTCCTTATAATTATGACTAATATTCTATTTATGTATTGTATTAATTCTTTATTTCTTACATTGGACTGTTGGTGATCAATTTCTTTACAAATTTTATCAAATCAAAAGTCAGTGCTAACATCACTCTTTTAATAACTGTGATTTTTTCTTTGTTGACAAATGTTTTTATGAACACTCTGAAAATACAGTGTAGGATTTGAAAATCCAGTTATCTTTTAAGCTGAGATATGTGTTCGCACTGTTGTTTCACATTGTTTACAAGCAAAGCCAAAGTAGTGGGGTTCACACCGCTTTCAATTAGTTTGATACACATCAGCAATTCTTCGTTATCTAAACCTAAAACGAAAATCGCACATCAGTTAAAGTTAACCTTGATACATTTTGTTTTTAGTGTAATATTTAAACAAAAATTTGCAATACTATATTTCATATTTTTCGTTTCAGAAAAGAGCAAACATTTCTCGGTTCCACCCACTATATTTGTTGTAGGACGTCTACGGAAGAATGAAATAGAAGTGCGTTGTAGGTTATCTTAGAGGTTACAGTAACAGTTCTTCATGACTCCTAAACTTGACTGTTAGCACACGAGTGAAAAGCGATTATGGGTTTACGTACTTTCATTAAAATAACTATAATACTACTAATAATAATAATTTGCTGAAAATTACTATGATGGCTACTATTTATAATGTGTAGTTAAGAAGCAAAACAATGACCATTTTCGGTGACATATTTCTTCATGCAGAATTGTGGAACAATCAGACGTCCCACGATAGTAGTATTCCTTGATCTTAAGAGGGCTTTGACTCCTAATAGTAAGGTTCCAAGAGTGTCTGTCATTAAAAACTGTACCAAAGAAGTACGCTAGCTTTGTGCAGGCTCTCTATTCGAACGCCACTAATCGAGTGAGAGCTTATCTCGAACCGTCATCGGAATTCAATGCCTTGAGTGGTGTCCATCAGGGCTGTCCACCATATCTATTTCTATTCAACTTCAGCACCATAGCTGCTACCTTGACGTGACTATCCGACATACCCATCGTGATGACCCAGACGAGCTATATAGACTGGAACATATGTTCCTTTAGGTTCTACCATGCCAGGCAGGTCGACTGGAGAACGATAAGACTAGAAGCAGCCACTCAAGGTCTGAGCGCAAAGTCGTAATGCCGACTGCAGAGCGGTGTGACAGTAGTAAGGTGTTTCCCTCGGACAACTAGCACATGCAACGATGCTGCCCCCTTACAAGGAAGAGGTTAGTGAAAGGTTGACCCTAAAGATGTAAAGCCTTACTTTACCTCAGGGATTTCCATTTCCGGTGGTTAGGATATATGAACAGCGAACTAACACATTGTATACTTCTCACAAAAAGGCTTTGAGCGACCAGAGAGTCAGTCAATCAGTCACAACGTCGAATTTCGTAAGTAAATACCTAGGTTCAGGTTTCCATACGATATTAGCACAGAGACGAAATCGTCAACTCAAATCCCATTGTGGTGGAGGTAGTAGAAGAAAAAGAGGTAAAGGAGAATATTAGGGGTCGAAACTATTATTCAAGAAATAAAGTTCGGTGAGATAACCTTGAAAGACTAAGGTGATCAGGAATTCAGAAGGCTTGAATTTGATAGAACACAAAGAATGGATCCACGTACGCCATCGCACGCGATTTGGAGTCATGCCATTCAAGGTCTCTATCCGTCAGTTGCTATCGTCTCCCAACCAGGTATTCGACACCCATCGACACGGCTCAGTCCAGTTGACAGTCACTTCATGGATTTGTGGCATGTTTTGGTTTGGCCGCCCCTAGCTCTCTTGCAGTCCACGCCTACACCTGAGGGCGGAGCTCGTCGAGGCAGTCGGTGGTTAGGCATACTTAACCTATGTCCCAACCGCTAGTTGATGTATTTCTCTGGTACGCCATCCATTCTTTCTCTTCTCTAAAATTATAATCTTCACTTTTAGTATAATATTGCACATAAACTGGGGATTTCGATTTGATTTACCATGTTTACCTGTGTTTAGCAGACTTGAAATTTCAGCTAGAACACCGAAAGTAGCAGCTGCAACTTTATCTGCGTTTGATTCTCCAGACGATGGGTTTGTGTTGTCTGTTGGTTCATTATTTTTCTCCTCTCTGGGTAAACCCATTGGATTTACCGTCTACAAGATACAGAAATTAGTTTAAAACGTCAACAATCAGTCAAAGTTAGTTACGACGCATTTTTAGCTAGATTATCGAAATTCTACAAAAAACAGCGAACTGCTTACTAGAGGGATTTCAGAGTTTAGTCCGTGAAAATTGAAGTGTTTTTAAAAAAATATTTATTTGAAATTATTTACATGAGGTTTACATAACGATTTCTTCCCCACAATACATCAAAACTCGAAAACATGGATTAATCTTCTTTCCATCAGCAGTGTAAAGCAATAATCGAAGGCATACATCACATATTGGACATGGATCAATAGGCAAAATAGTTCCACACTCTGTAACTATCCAACGGGATGCAAGACGTCTGCAAACAAAACAATGCAATACTCGTACACTACATCGACCAGTGAGCATTGGAAATGAGGACGGAGTCTGACATGAATCTCGATCTACAAGACTGAAATGTGAGAACATAAGGATTTCGTTAAGACTTGTCTTTTACCCAAAAATTTCAAACAACAGCATAAAATATGTAAATTGCCCTTCCTGTCCAACTGATGAGAACAGTTTGATTGACTGAGATCTTAGGTAGGTAGGTGCATCCATTCTTTGTGTTCTCTAAAAATTCTAATCCTCAGAATTCCTCATCATCTCTATCTTTTGCTTTCTAACGTTATCTTATTGAATTATACTTCTTGAATAATAGTTTCGATCCCTAATATTCTCCTTTACCGCTTTTTTCTACTATCTCTAACACTATGGGATTTGAACTGACAGTTGTGTCTGTATGGTATGGTGACGTGAACTTATGTACATACGTACGAAGTTCTACGTTGTAACTGACTGACTGTCTGATGAGGAAATCGCAAGTCATCAGTGTCGTGTAGATTTTGACGTTATTTATTTTAAACACATAGACATTGATACAACAAGACACTGAGATATACATACACGCCACTCAAATCAATGAGTGTGAGTAGAGATACAGTCCAGGTGTCCAAACCGGAGCAGGTGGTTTTCGTGAATGGTCGCTTCACAAAAGACGGAAACCTTACGAGATGCAGTTAGTAGGCTGGAAGTAGTAGCTGTAACTTTATCTCGGTTTGATTCCTCTACTAACAGGTTTGCCCTGTCTATTGATTTACTTTTCTTTCCTCTTTTGGAAAAACCATAGGATTTGCTGTCAAATAAAATGCAGGAATCAGTTTAAAACGTCAGTTGTCAGTCAAGGGTTTATTAGGATGCAATCCCTGGTGACCGAGAATAGGTACATATGCCATTCATTCCCTTAAGATCCCGGAGCCCACGTACACCATTGGTTTAAGCGCTTGCTATCCATTTTTCATTCTTCTGAGCTCATAAACAGCACTACGTCCATGAGTAGGAATTAAGCAAAACTTCTGCGGCAGTTGCTATATTTTCGTAGCGGACTCCATTGTTAGCTATACCGTATAACAAGTCAAGCAGTAGGATTTACTCGTTATAGCTCTAGAATTTCGGTTGTTCATTGTAAACCATCTTCAAAATACATAGACAGGATCCTAGAACGGTCATTCACTGTATTAATCAATAACCTAATGGAAGTGGGTTTTCTGGCACAAACGTCTACAAATTGATCACATTGAGAATAACTATCATTTTAAATAACTTTTTGATACAATATAAAAGGGAGAATGCTGGAACTAAGGAAAGAGGTTTGGGACTTACCGAATATCAGAAAAGATAATCATATGTTCACAATTTCCTTGATGTACGAAGAAATATGGCTTTCCAATACAAATAACAAGGTTTTCAAGAGTCGCCGATTCCATCGATGATGACGTAAAAGGCACATGCGTTTTAAGTTCTTTCTTGCTTTTGGCCCATTGTATAACCTCTCTGAGGTATGAATTACGTACAGAAAGTAACTTACTGCCCAAGGCTTTTACTGTTTGCATTTCGTAGATCATCATAAAAAGTCCCTTCAATAAAAAAGTATGACGACGGGTAGATTTTATCCGCCGAAACATGAAGCTCAGGATTGTCAAGGGCCTCACTACAATCTCCTAACCAAACCTGAAAACTAATAACACGTAAAAAGGGTTTACTTTATCTTGTGAACACTTTATAGCTTCCCTTAGGACTGTAAGATTTTGTTTGGATAGCAGTACCAGCCTCTGAGTAATGACCAGTTGTCGAGACTTACTAAGTCATTAAACATTACCAATAATACCTGTGTACATGGATCAATATTAGGAAGGCAAAACGGTCGGTAGACAAGAATAGTCACGAATGTATCCTGGGTGACTTCCGTAGCCTCTGGAGATTCATCGACGGAATTTCGATAAGACATATCAACAAATGGTCGAGGATTTCTTTGCGTCGCTGAGAGGATGGATTTTCTATGATTCAGACCTTCGGTTTCTTTTAATAAGTGAGTTAGAGTTTTCAGCTGCCTTTCATCTTTCCTCGACGGTACGATTTTTAATACTTCTTCTAGAGTTGTATACTCACCGTCGAAGCATAAATTCTCAATACTATGTGAATCTATCAAATTCCAAAGAAATTTACCTGCAATCGTTCTCAAGCTGTTCGAATATTGAAGAATCAGTTACAATCTTTTTAAACTCAGAGGTAACAAGACCGTTAGCCTCACTTTCCTTCAATATTCTGTGTTCTTCGGGTAAAAAGGGAGTAAACTTCTTTTGGAGATCTCCTATTCGGAACTTCTGAGAATCAATGCTGCTGATTTCCATGAGTCATCTGTAAATAAATCAAGAAGCTAAACGTGTGTTACGCACATTGTACAGAACTTTATATAGGTTGTGATAACGCTAACGATTATTCCGAAGCAATCTGATACAGCAACACAAGATCCGGAGTGATCCTACTGTCATATTTTGGCTACTATTTTCCTAGTCGCGGTTAGAAAAATTGAAACATATTAGTTAACGCCACACACCAATGACAATTGTTGTAATCTTAACCAGGCTCTAACATGTTGGAGAAGCAGTTACTAATCATTTTTAAGTTATATGACTGTAAATGCAAGAATGGATTCAGTAAACTTCGACATAAACTACCGACGATTGTTCTGAGGGGGTTATTAAACTTGGTGTAACAAATATTCCAGCGTTGGTGAAGCTCTCATAAGAAACTTGAAGGAAATGCGACTTAAACGATAGAAATCTCTATAGACTTTACGTTAAACACGGAAAACTGAATAACTAACGATAAACATTGGACTGCTTAGGTTTACATATAATAACGATAAAAGCTGTGTAAAACTTTCGATTACATCTTATTATTCTAAATGAGCAATAAAGACATTAAAAACTTCTTCTATGTGCAGACTCTTGCTAACACTATTTAGAAAACGTACAGGAATATTATACGTCACTACAAATGTCAGCCATATAAAATATCCACCTAATTATTAGTTTTGAAATGTCATGAATAATTCTTTTCAAAACAAATACAGATGTTTATTCACTGAATGACTAGAAGTATACGCGTTGTGTAGTACATTTTTAGCCAATGCATATCTGAGTTAGACAAGTGTCCATCCGGAAAATCCAGGATTGTGAAGCGCATACGAACAGCAAGTACTGAGCTAACAGTTTGTTTGACAAATAACAGTTCGTCCTACAAAAGTTAACAGATCCGCAATCCAGAGGGCTAATAAGGAGAACAGACACTTACTCGTAGCGTATGTCGTCTAAATTGCGCCTTACCGTCCATTGTCCAATTAGATGTACAGTTTGCTACTGTTAACAGGTCGATCTCTTTGTGCTTTCTGGTGCTATAGAATAATAGTTTTGCAAGTCTTGAAAAGCGAGGCGGACCTTATTAATACTCTTAGACAAAGCCCTAGCGGAAGGCGTTCAGTCAGTTTTTCATACAAGTTCATGTTTCAGGTTGTCGCGCTGAGCATATATTATGCCGACCGATTAGCTCTGATTTCATACGCTGCGACACCATAACCCGAATATACCTTCACAACCCATCATCCTTGACTTCGGTTTCAATTGGCATAACGACCAATATGTATGAGGCGATTTAGGATGATAGCGCTTTTAAACCGAGAATTGCAGTGACCTTACCTAGGATTAATGTATCTTTGATTCAGTAGTTTTGACAAATCTAGGGATGATTCGTATGTTATAGAGTGACGGTAGGTAAGTACATTTAGTCGATGGCAGTTGGATGGATGGGCCACTAGGTATCAGAATATCGTTTGATTAGGTTTACTAAAGATTTTTCGCAACTCTCTCAAAGTACCCCTTTTGTAAAACCCAGGCATTATGAGCAAGACGCTACTCGTTGGTTCAGTCATATGATTTCTCTTTCTCAGGCTTCAATCAGAGTGGAGCGAATTACTTGTTCATCGAACTACAGAAGACATCATTGATGACACAACTATGTATTCACTTCATATTTTGTTTATGATCAAACAGAATGTCAACACAACAAATTCAAAAATGGATTGCTATAACGTATAGTTCATAACAGAAGCAAACAGAGGTTTCGATGAACTATTTTGAGTCTCCGGTTTAAGTCCTACCGTTCTTCATTCGACCTTCCTAGAATGATAGATCGTACAGGATTATATTTTCTACCAATATATCTCAGTTCGTTCATCATGATACACGAGCTCGACCACCGCATCTAGGTAACAGCTACTGTCAGCATTTTTCCACACTCTCAAACTCTAACCTATCCCTGCTGTCAGTTTATATATATGCCACATACACTGCTCTACCCTAATAGAAAAGTAAATTTGAAAAATCATCAGCAAACATTTCTCTCTCATTTTCTTACAAACCACCCACGTTTAAAATATATGAGAAAATGTTTATCTAAAAAACAGTTCATGAAATAAGACTGCTACCTGAATGGTTTAATCAATTGTTTGAAACATTATGTTGTGGGTTGGTTCGATAGGTCTGAACGCTGTCTAGGAGGAATATTTACTGAACCGAATATTTGCGATGAACTACGACCCCGTGACATCTGCACATCGGACGTGTACCTTTCCCTTGCAGACACAGTTTCAATGTACGTAATTTATTCAAAGAACATGGAGGCGCAAAGGAACTCCTATTAGCTGTTTACCATGGGGATCGTACTTCAACGAAAGAAATGGACGATGCCCTTTTCGGTTTATACCACAATCACCAAATGTCCACTATGTCGTTCACAAACTTTGTAGAAGTCAAGATCCTTACGGGAGAAAGCTACGAAAACTAAAGCTCTACTACTGCCTCGCTTCAAAACATCCTGACTTGTTGAAAATGTGGCTGAATTATCTGAGTCATGTCGACAAAATGGCGTGAACGTGTTATGTCAGAAAAGAATTATCATGACTAATCTACTAGCTGAACCTATTACAGTAAATGTGGTTGTATTTGTAACTATTTGATCTCGCTTGTAAACTACCCCGACCGTAGCTGCTACCTCGATGTGGTGGTCAGGCTTGCTTATCGTGATGACCCAACCTAGCTATATTGGCTGGAACATACGTTCCTGAAAGTTCTACCATGCCAGGAAGGTCGATTGGAGAACGATGAGACTAAAAGCAGCAACACAAGGTCTGAGGGTGAAGTCGTACTGCTGACTAAAGAGGGGTGTGACAGCAGTAAGGTGTTTCCCTCGGACAACCAGCATCTGCAGTGATGCTGCCTTCTCACAAGGAAGGAAGGATTAGAAAAGGTCGAACCTAAAAGTGTCACACCTCACCCTACCTCACGGATTTCCGTCTCCTTGGGTAAGGGTGCCCACTAAGGGCCTTTAAGGGCGGAGCTAACACTCAAAAAACTCATAAAAAGGCAGTACGTGACCGGCCTCAAGCAGTTGTCCCTTGGGCTCTGCGGTCACGCACCCAGGTCGTTAAGACCAACGCTGATCTATCTTCCTTTTCGGGTCCCTCAAGAAACAACCTTCCACAGTGTGGGCAGCCGGGAAGTGACAACCGCCCTCATACCCTAAACAACACACGAAACCAAATTGGTCGAAATCTAATCCTTTCTACACTTCCTAGTACCTCTCTTACCTCCACGACTGACTCTACTCACATTCCGTTATCACACTGCACAGCTAATGCAAACGAAGGGAGTTCACGAAAAGTTGTTCCTGGTTTCCTGAAATCCCGTTCTAGACTACATGTTGGAGCACTTAATGTAGGTAAATTATGTCAAATGGAGCAACAGTCTTCCTTAGCTAGGACTTTAAAATCTCGTGCCATCGATTTATGCTGTCTCGTAAACGCGCATACAGAATCCTAGTAAAATTGTTGATCTGATTTCACCTTGTCAAAATAAAGAAGCAGCTCGATTTACTTTTCGTGTATCTGGAAGCCCTGATGCTGCTTCCAGGGGTCTTGCTGGCGTAGGCATATCATTGAGTCGTAGAGCTGAACAATCTCTCCTTGACTGGATCCCAGTAGATAGTCGCTTGTACGCTGTCCGACTAAACGGGACAGTAGGGACTCGAAAAGATAGGGACATCCGTTGTTGCTTCTTCGTCATATCTGCCTATGACCCCACTGACTGCAGTCCAGACGAGGTGAAAGACGATTTCTATAGAAAGCTTTCGGGCCTACTCCAAAAAGTTAGACACTCTGATGTAGTAATAATGGCTGATGACTTTAATGCTCAAGCAGGTACACTGAGTGAAAAAGAAAGACACCTAGGGGGATGTTATGGTGTCGCGGCTCAGGGAACAGATAATTGCAACCGTCTGTTGCAACTATGCTCAGATAACCGCCTATTCTTAGCAAACACTAACTTTAGGCATAAGGAAAAGCACCTATTGTCCTGGCGATCCCCGAAGTTGTCTCAACGTTGGACCAAACTAGATCACATTGCCATCAGCCACCGATGGAGGGGTTCGATAGAGGTCTGCCGCTTGTTCTGGGGCACATGTCTACACTCAGATCATCCATTAGTGCGAGCGCGTATTTGTTTGCGGCTTACTGGACGTAGGAAAGACTCCGTAAGTAAGCCTCTTTGGGTTTTACCTAATGATAATCAAGCTAAGAAAGTATTTCAGGAGGAACTAGAAAGACAGTTAGGCGGCCATAAAAGTGATTCCAATCCGGAGGTAGGTTGGAATGATATCCAGAAGGCTGTGGAAACAGCAGTGATATCTACTAGCAAGGTAAACCATAAGGCCTAGATGAAGCCGTGGATTTCAGTCGCATCCACCGAACTGATGGAACCTAATCAAACGATATTCTGATACCTAGTGGCCCATCCATCCAACTGCCATCGACTAAATGTACTTACCTACCGTCACTCTATAACATACGAATCATCCCTAGATTTGTCAAAACTACTGAATCAAAGATACATTAATCCTAGGTAAGGTCACTGCAATTCTCGGTTTAAAAGCGCTATCATCCTAAATCGCCTCATACATATTGGTCGTTATGCCAATTGAAACCGAAGTCAAGGATGATGGGTTGTGAAGGTATATTCGGGTTATGGTGTCGCAGCGTATGAAATCAGAGCTAATCGGTCGGCATAATATATGCTCAGCGCGACAACCTGAAACATGAACTTGTATGAAAAACTGACTGAACGCCTTCCGCTAGGGCTTTGTCTAAGAGTATTAATAAGGTCCGCCTCGCTTTTCAAGACTTGCAAAACTATTATTCTATAGCACCAGAAAGCACAAAGAGATCGACCTGTTAACAGTAGCAAACTGTACATCTAATTGGACAATGGACGGTAAGGCGCAATTTAGACGACATACGCTACGAGTAAGTGTCTGTTCTCCTTATTAGCCCTCTGGATTGCGGATCTGTTAACTTTTGTAGGACGAACTGTTAGCTCAGTAGTTGCTGTTTGTATGCTCTTTACAATTCCAGATTTTACAGGCAGATACTCGTCAATGATCATAATCTATATTTATAAAGGTTTGCAGTGTATTGATTACTTCTTTGGCATTATAAGATGTAATGGAAAGTTTTACACAGCTTTTCTCGTTATTATTTGTAGACCTAAGTATTACACACAACAATTTTCTCATAACTTTCATAATTATTTTGTTAATACAACTTTCGCGTCTTATTATTAGGTGAATTGTTTTTATTAGGTTTATCAGTATTAGTAAGGCTGGGATATTTGTATCGAATCATGCTCATGTTTATTACAATCAACTATGTAATCCAAATCATATATATATGAGTTTCCATAGATCATTTATATTCCTCATATAAGTGGATATATATTACTGTATATTGAGGTGAAGCCTGATGAAGACATAAATAAAAACTTAGGTCATCAGGATTTTTTGAATGCCTACACATAATGGTGTGACATACTGCAATTTGTTCATTTTTGTTTCTCGCCAATAATAGATTTTTTTTTATCTCTATTGAGTAGTAGTTGAAATAGTAGTTGGCTTAAAACAAAAATGTGATATGAATTATATATAACTTCCTTCTTTTCAGTCACTGCGTATCATGAATTTCATATCGCAGCCAATCTCACCAATAGAAAAAAAGCCAAAAATGTTCACAAAAAAACATAAGTTAAGTAAAATGTTAACAACAGAAGGATTTATTATAGTTAAAAAACACGAATATAAACAAAATGATTGAAATTAAATTAAACATGAAATAATAAGAAAGTTAGTAAACTATTACTGCTACTTGGTAGGACGGAAAAATACTTCAGGAAAGACATTTAAACCAAATAGTAGAACAAAGTGAGAGAATATTATTGCACGGACGACATTAAAATCAAAACGAATTAAACGATCTTCATATGCACAAGTACATTATTGGGACACATATTTATAATGTTCGTAGATATTAAACATTATGATCAACATGAAATTGTTAATTTTCACTAATTCTGTAAAATTACATAGAATGCCACCATTGTGATAGTGATTATCATCAGTCAGAAACAAATTAAAGATATTTATGAATGTTTTAAGACATTATAAAAGTAGAAATAGTTAAACTCAACTATACAGAAAAAGAAAACCCAGTATAATTTAAAAGCATGCATTATGCATTCAAATTAAATGGCTTTATTATTGTTTCATATATTGATAGAATATTAGTTTGATTAACAATTAGGGTAGGGAGGATTAGTAAGATCAGTAGGATAAGGTGGAACCTTAGGCAATCTATTTGAATGATACATGTTACAATTCGAATTACTGAAATCCAAACTACGTTTTTCCATCCCATAATTATTATTTTGTGTGTTCAACGGTTTAATTCCTTGCATTCGCATATACGATACAAGTTGATCTGGGATTTCTGAGAGAACAGCTTTAGTTAAACGTCTTTTACTCTCTTGAATATTATTCAACTGATGGAAATTGCGAAAAGGAACAAACTAAACAAAAGTAACCAAAAACGAAAAATTCGATTTTGATGCTGTACGATTTAGTAAGTTGAAATAGAAATCAGGATAATGTAATCAAATAATCAAGTTGTCACATTATACAGTAGTATGCAAAAAATAAATGAAATACAAGAGGAAAATTCTGATAGTTCACGAGAAATAATTTTGAAACAATTTTAAACAGAAGACTAATTTAAACAAACCATAGGAATGTTCGTTAGGTGAATAGGTGGCTGACAGCTTAAAATTAATATACACAACTAGTTCAAAGAGCATACAACCAAGTATGATGCACCTTCTGTAGGACTGATATTTTTTCAAACTAGGGATTTAAAACAACTTCAGTTCATCTCTCTACAAGTACAAAGTAACTTATTCAAACGAAGTAAAGATATTCAGAATAGCTTCTGGTAAAAAAGTTATTGAGAAACCATTGTCAAGCTAAGTGATCTAATTATTTTACTTAGTACCTAGAAACCGAACCGCATATTATGTATTGAATGGTTTTAATGAACAGGTTGATAATCAAATGATATGAACATTTTCTAATATTAGTTTCTTTAAAGAAACCATTCTTCTTGGTGATATCAAAAGATAGCTCACTTGTCCATGTTAGTAGTAATTTCAAATGATGGTAAAAGTACGCCTATTGTTGTATTTGCTGAGGAAAAACTTTAGTCTCGGATATCAGCAAGGCTTTCCGACTGTAAATTTAACTGGCTAATACTAAAGATTTAAGAAACAAATATTGTTTACGGGAGTGGCAGCTCAGTGGGTAGTGTTTGACTTTCAACCATAAAGTCCCAGATCCGAAACCCACTTGTGATACTTTGGTTTATGCAACTAGGTAGCTATCACTCTTAGACCGTGACTTTTAGCCAAGTACACGAACTTTTAAACGGCAAATAAGTTGAAACAACTAATAAATTATCTCTTGTTACCTGAATACTCATTTAACTGTAAATATCCACCGCTACTGACCTATGCTCTATTAGGGGTAGCAGGCTTCGGTAAGTAAATATTGACAAATAAACGTAAAGGAATTCCATAACGGCATTAACGCTTCAAAATTTATTAAAAACTATGAATGAATGAGATGATTCTAACAGATTTTTATGTCAGTTAATGCCAATATATTCGTATAAAATAAATTTTCGTTCAATAAGCTTGATGTCAGTGCAAAAAAACAGAAGTGGCAGCCAATACACTTGATGTAAATAATGTATCAAAACAAGAATATATGGGCATCAACTCTGTAGTATGATAATATTAAAGAGTGTGCATTATTTGAATACGATTCTTTTAAAAAATAGTTAAATTATCTCCTCTAGTCAATAGCAAATACTATAAGGGAGAGAAGGAACAATAAAGTTAATCATAGACGTACTTGAACAATATCACGAATTGCAGTTTTTCCACGAGAACTTAATCTTACTTCGTCTCCATCAAGTTCCTCCATTTCATCGAAATTTGCAGGACCAACACCAACAATAATAATACTTAGAGGTAAACTGGACGCCTACAAATATCAGAAAAAATGTGATAAAAACTTTTCACTATTGTAATACAGAACATTAATTATTAATATTCATCATCATTACTATAAAGATCAGCTTACTACGTAGACACACAGGTATAGTTGGAAAGTTTAAGTAGTACAGAAAACATAACTGTTATTTTACAACAAAATGAAGTTTATTTAAAACAATAGAAGGATGTGAGATAAAAATGAGTAAAATTTAAATGTTTTTTGATCCTCAACGATTGCGAATTAAAATCCTGTGTCTACAATGCATAGTTGGTAAGAATAATTACTGATGCATAAATAGGAAATTGTATTGAGTTTACTAACCGAATAGGAATAAAAGCATCTTTATTTACAAAAAATTTTCTCTAATTTATTCGTGAGGATTAGTGTTCGTAGCGTGAAGTTTTAACGTAAATCTATGAATGCATAGAAAAGATGAATGAATTTCTCCAAAGTATTCAAATAGTACTAATAATAAAACTATTATTTCGGGATTTATACAACAGAATTGAAATTCAATAAATGACTTAGAAAAGCGCAACGATGAATACTACTTATTATTGAAATTGAGAGTTTCATTGAGGAAATATTTTCTTTGAATAATTTCTGATCATTACTTTCTAGCTTTAATCAATAATATCACTGAAATAAAGATATATTGAAAATCGTGTTATCCCTCTACATTTTGAAGGACAAAGATACTTTTATTTACTTCGAAAGACAAAAAAGTTTCTGCTTTGATATATTTTGCAGCCCTTGAATTTGAACATATACAGAAACTGAATTCAGTGAACTATTATGACACTCCCACGGTTAAGATATATTATTCCAAATGGAATTCATAATGACTAACTGCATGAAACTTGAATTCCCTAACTCTCTAATATCGATTTCTGTATGAAATCGTAATTCTAGTGTCTATTAATAGTCCTCAGTGCAAAAAAGTAACTGTTAAAACGTTATCGGTATAGAATTAAATCAAAAGAATGTGACTGAGTACATATGGGTAAACTCTACATAATGTTGCTAATATAAAGAAGATTCTAAGTAGACATTTATAGCGATTGAACAGCATTCCAAATCACACAAATCTCTCTGTTACGAGAAATGATAACTTGCTTTCGATAAAATCTTAAGCTTGCTTTATTTCTGTTTATAGTAAGATTTCCATTTATTTATTCATACATTTTTTAGAAACTGGTGAGATTACGAATGTGTTAATCCACTTAAAGTTTGGTTGCAGTATGTAGATGACGTTTTTTGTATCAGCAAACGAAATAGTCTGCAAAAAATATTTATAAATGTAAACAGAATATCAGCAAGTATCAGACTAACCACAGAGATAGAATCCATTGACCACAAACTAGCGTTTGTCGATTGCTTAGACAAAGGAAGGCATAATAATACGTGAAAAATTAATACATTTTGGAAATCGACATATTCTCAGAAATATTCAGATTACTGTTGTCTCATGCTCATTCTACGAAGGTAACAGCGGCAAAAAGATCTAATTAAAAGCAGTTATAATCTTATTACAGCGAAACTTAGTATTGTCGACACTTAAAGACAATAATCATCTAATAGTTTTCAAAGAAGATTGTAAAAATTAAAAGAATGCTAAATTACAGTGTACATAAAAGAAAAGGAAGAAGATTGTTGTCATCTCATACCGTAAATAAACATCAGAGGAAATTTAAAGGATTCTAAACAAACATAACATAAGAGTGCATTTTTGAGCCATTGATATCATAAGATCGGTATTTGTGAAATTCAAAGACGGGTTCCCATAGGAAGAAAAAAAGAACGTTGTCTATGAGATCAGTAGTTAAGACTGAAATGTAGTTTATGTGAGCAAAACATCCAAACAGTTGGATGAACAGTGTTTGAAACATGATCCCGAGTAATTAGAGAAGAAATCGGCTATAGCTTTACAGGCATTAGAAACAGGACACAATATCAACTTTGGTGGTACTAAAGTAATTCAGAAAGGGTTTATAGCACATACAAGTAATTGGGACTTCATCTTCACCCACCTTTGATCGAACAGTAATTAATTTTAATATTTTAAACATCAAAACTTGTTAGGATATTCACCAAATATCCTAATAATACTATTTTTGGAAGTATAATCCTATTGGTCGATTTCTATTGGTCAAAATTATGGTCATTTTAACTGTCAAAGTCAAATACTTCAATGTTATCTCTTATTGGTCATCCGGACTGTCAATGTCACAGACTTTGATGCTCTTTCCTATTCGACCTTAATGTATAAATACGCACTATCTGTAAGACTCAATAATTCCGTTTCTTCCTGCCTACCTCCCTTCTGTACTCGACCCAATAAACAACTCCATCCAACGGTGTTGTGTTCTGATATATAGTAGATTTGGAAAAAGTATTTGGGTCGTATTGGATATTTGAATTGGACGCCCCCAGGACTGAATAGCTATACGTGGCAGCATTATAACACAACTATGTGATTGGTAGTCCTACATACATTTCACTTTTTAAAAACATTTAGAATTGCACTTTTATGTTTACAGTTAATAAACAAACGACTGACATTCATTTACCGACTATCAACTGTTAATAACATGCATTCACACACACATGCACACATTTATTTTTCACATTGGGAACTTTTCACAGCTCATTTGACTGATGTTATCCCGCTTGCTTGAGTAAACATCCTCTATTTTTAAAACAAATACAATTACTTCAGAAAAATAATTAAATTAAGAACCGGTAGAGAACTCATCAAAACGCAGAATTTTTGTAGATAATGTTTCTACTGAATATGGACATGTTTGGTTATTGAGAGAAGTGGAAAACGATGTATGCAAAACAATACGTGAAAATGACTGAGATATGATCAAGACAAGAAAATTTTTGGGAAACTCTACGTATAAATCGACCTTTCGCTTGTGCTACTTTTGGAAGAATATTTGTTACTCACGATGTTAGAAGTCAGTATGGATACTCTATTACAAGACTGAAGAGAATGATCTTGGTGTTCTCACTCCACATACATTTTGAACATCTTATTACTCCACTTAATAATTTATTTGCTAACATCAATCGAATATTTTATTCATTTTATAGTTGCTTTATGATTGTTAGTTTTTCTTCTTGTATGACGTCTCAGAGGTCGATTGCGTTAACGCGCTGGGCGCACGCCGAACAAGAGGCCTGACGCACACCAATCTCCGTGGACAGGGTCGGTAATATTAACCCGATTCCCTTTCCCTACAGGGGGCTGTTGCCAGAGGCTGTTCACCTTGAAGACCTGCTGCAGATATGGGTACGGCCTGCCACAAGAATTATACTGCCTCGCTCGGATTTTCAAGGGCCGACAAGAGCGTTCCGGACACCACAAGAAGGTTGGTGCCGATAATAGTATCAATCAAATTTTTTTAATTGTAATAATTCATTTGTTGTATATTTGATTGTGTGTGGATGCTTACTCGCTTATTACATGTCTTAGCCTATTATTGCTTGACAACAATACTAGTCATTCTTCAGCTCGTGAAGAGTTGGCTCACTCGCCTTCGCCAATTTGCTTCGCTTTACTTGTACGCGTTCTATTCTCATGTCTGTCTGCATACAGGAATGCATGAAATAAATAAATCTGCAACACCGTATTTGGCTTCGTACTACCACCGTCACACGAACGGAGTTTGCCTAAGTATGATAAACGAAAATGGAGAGGAAGATTTATTTCATTGTACGCTCGATCATTAGTCCATATTGGAGTCCAGCCGTGAGGCGCTAAAACATTATCTTTTAAAACAATAAAGTAGAGGATTTATCTTACGAAATTCACTTCAAGAGACATCGATATGATATTTGGTATCTAATAACAAACACTACCGTCCGATTAACTTCATAATCTATTTATTTTTATCAACTCGAAAGACACTCACCATTTGAAGCTAAGGGTGCTGACATGTTGCTAGTAGGTAGTATATTGGTTTTCAATTCACAAAAATCGATAAAAGCCTGAATCCTGACGCCAATGTTAGCAAACATTATTAAATATTAACATTAAGTAAGAATACTTAACTAACAACATAATTTATGGGCAACGGAGTGGAAAAACAAGATATTTAAATCATTCCGACTGTTTGATGCAAGATAGAACAACGAGATTACAATGAGTACATCAAAAGTAACGGAATATTTGAGTGGTAACCATTGACACCGTACAAACAACTTAGAAAATATTAGTACTAAATATGTACATAATCATATAATTTGCTTGTAAAATCTACATATATTCGTTTCGTAACCTACTTGTATATTGATTTCTAGGATTGGAAAATGATTGACGTAAGCAATGCTAAATCTCGTGAAAAAACTAGTACTTTATTTGATTGAATGAATGAGATAAGAAATGTTCACTGTGTGTACAAACAAGTGTTCTGCAGGTTAGTATGGAACTGATATATCTTGCAACTAACTGATTACACGGAATAAAAAATTCAGACATCGAGTAAACAGTATTTATCGATCCATTAGATCCTGTTTCGGTAGATACTTTTATGGATTATCTTGAAAGCCGAGAGCTTAAACAAACAATTAAGGAAGTAACAGAATATCCCAGATAATTTATAATACATTAAATGCTTACGACAGCAAAGGACATGTAATCCAAGTGCTAGAACTTTTCAACGAAGTGCAACATAGCATACAGTTTACTAAGGAACATGAAAAGAGTAAATACCACTTTCTTGTCATCGCTCCACAGCGAAGAATCGATAGTATACTTTAAAATTCGATTTGTTGACAAAGTACTTGCACTGAGTTATACTTAAATTTTAGGTTTTTTGCGATTACTGACACGAAACCGGTGGTCAAAACAATACTTTGCAAAGCAGAAAGAATATGTTAATTACCACTGACAAACTGAGAAAATCAAAGAACGTTTAAAAGTGATTAAGAAAAAATCGTTGATTGACAACTATGAAAAATTTAAAGATAAGAAGTCGAATAGAGCTGCAGTCAGTAAAAAACGGTAACGTTATAGGAATAATTTTTAAAAAGGTCTTGGCATCTCATTAGCTGGAACCTACTCTGAGCTAATTAACTAATTCTGCATAAAACATGTTCAATAACTCTATCAAAAGTTGATAAGTACTAACTTCATGTTATCTCTAGCTGTGTCTATAAGTTTACATGTAAACATTTGAGGTCGCCTACGATTTTTTGAATACGTCGCAGAAATCCTTTGATCGAGAGGAGGAAGTACTTTAGATAGTTTAATATCTCGATATCTCTTGAACACAATCTATCAAGTAGATGCTTCAAAATCTGTCAAGTTAATTACAACACTCAAGCCTGATTCTTCGGAATTTTGTTGAAGCTATTACTATTAAGCGTTAGAAACGTGGTTTATGCGTTCAAAGGAATATAGTTCATCAGCTTTCTCTGTCTTGATATCATAAAGTCTAATTCGTCACGTCAATCACTACCTCTCAACTGACTGAAAATTACTTCATTTTTGTTTCGCTTTTCTACTTCAACAATTTTAAGTTTCAACTGATGGAGGTTTACTCACGTTATGGAACAGCCATTTGATTTATGCTTTTGTTTTTTTACAGATACATATATTTGTAGCTTTTAGTGAATCCCTTAAATTTATTCAAACTTTTCTAACACTATGACGATGTGTTTATAATAACTTTGACAGAATTCATTTATGCAAGTATTTTCAAACTACATTATAATTTTCATTTTTAATCAATACAAGCTGTAAACAGCAGAGGATAACCCAGTAAAATAAAATGAATCAATGCTATTCTGCTTAACTTGATGTTTTGATTTATTTCAAGCCAATAAGCAGAATGGTAATTATTGGGCTGTTCATGTCCATATTTTGCTAGAAAATAACCTATTCTCTATTCGATTATGAAATACGAAAAAAAATGTATGCAGAATAGCTTCTATGAAATTTGTTTTTACATTATATCTATCATGAGGAAATGAACACTAGAGTGATTTAGAATACAGCTAAAAACTGATAGAATCAGTACAGAACTTATGCATCATGAAAGGCAGTTTTAACATATCGAACGATAGTAAAAGTTCGTAGTTCGTAGTATAATACAATTAATCGATATTTATCCAATAGCAACCAAGATATGTATCTGTGCACTTTATATCAGATAGAAATAATTGAATAATACTTAGATAAATCATTGTCAATAACGATCATTATTATTTACGTTTGATGGCGCTGAAACTGTAATAATGTTACTTCTTATACGATTTACTGGATTAAGTGAGAAATTGTGCACATTATAGAAACCAACAATGAGAATATTTTTATGATTCAGAAAAATCATTGGAAATAATTTGCTTGAAATTTCTTAACTCAAAGATTAATTTCTTGATCACAAAAAAGAAAAAAATGTCTTTTAGAATATTGCAACAGATCAAGTTGTAATAATTCCTCAATATGAAGAACTTGCTGCTATCGAAATGCATGTATTGGAAAATAATAAAAAAAAATAGATTAAGTTCCAGTAAACTGTTAGCAAACGATTGATATACACAAACTAGTGAAGCTGAATAAAATAATATTATTTTCTTTATTTGCATACAAATTACTTAAAGTACAAACAATTTCAATGTTTACATATCCATTAATCAAATGAGATATCTAATTTTCCCGGAAACAATCATAAGTTACCCAGATAAAAACTGTATCAAATTTTAAATCTATGCATATCATAAAATTTAATAGAAACTATTGATTGAAAGAGTATGTAAATAAGTGAATATATATTTATATATATAACGTAAGACAAACAATTAAAATACATTTATAATAGACAGGAAATCAAGCGGAAATCAAATGAACACACACTTACATTTACTATGGCAGCCTTTGTTTGAGGCAGATCCGATATGATCCCGTCAGTAAGAATTAATAAAATGGAATATTGTGAACCATCAACAGATTGACGTGCAATACTTGCATGGAAGAAAATGAGAAAATAAATAAATGTTATAAAAACGTTTTCTCTAATAAAATTATTATGTACGGTAAAATGAAGTGTACAGAAACATAAATTTAACATTGATAGAACACTATGTGTGATCAAACAATCACAAAAAACTGATTGTCAAACACAATAGTCGCAAATGGTTTATCTAGTGATTGATTTGATGTGTTTTTTTTGGATGCATAATATGAAATTATTGGTCGTTTTTATTTGTGATATTCATCTTATTTTCGATTTATGATATTTTATTCGATAATATTTTTTCGTACACAAAATGAAATCGTCAATGCTGAAAAATAAAAGAAACTTCAGTACACTCTGATTTCACTGATAACCACCTATAAGGACAGATGAATTAATGATTGAAAATGGAGAATCCTACAAAACATAATTTTTAGTCGTTACATAAAAATGTTATGTAAAATGGAGATTCTGGTTGCCTAGCAAAAGATTTAATTTTATCCTCCTCTTACAAACAAACATAAATGCATCAAACTTACGTAGCAATTATTTTCAGTTTAAGACTGAAATTACACATAATGTTTTAATATACACAGCCCAATTCTCATAAATACATAATCGTGTAGACGGACAAGACAGACAGACAGATACAACGCAGAACTTCGTACATAAGTACATCAGTTCAGGTTGCCATACTACGTCAGCACAGAGAGGTAACTGTCAGTTCAAATACAAGAGTGATAGCGATAGTAGAATTATTAGCCGCGATGGAGAAGATTAGGGAGCAAAGATATGATTCAAAAAGTATAATTCAGTGAGATAAATTTAGAAGGAGAAAGATAGAGAATATGAGGAATTCAGAAGGTTAGAATTAAAAAACACACAAAGAGTGGATGCACCTGCGCCATTGCAAAAGATTCTGAGCCATGTCGTTCAAGGTCTCTAACCACTGGTGACTTTCGTCTCTGTAGACGGACAAAGTTAACACTAAACTTTCAATAAGTTTGGAGTTGGGAGTAGAGATGTGTGAATTCTAAATTACTTTTATCCACACTGCAAGTACCAACTGATAAATGTCATACTTTAAATAATATGAAACAAAGCCCATGTATACGTAACATTACATTCTTTGTTAGACAATGATTTACAGATGTTATAATGTTAAAAAGACAAAATCATGGATTCGATAAATCATTACGATAGATAAATTTATTGTTGATAACTTTAAGATTTTCTGTTAGTTATCAGTACCACATTTGATGATTAATACATATTCGTTGTGGGTACAAGAGTAAAATAATTTCGAAACAGATGACTATTAAGTTCAGTCTTCATTGTTATTTGTCGATAACACTGAATACTACCTAATAGTTATAATAATCAAAATATTTCCATTTGAAGCATAGCTAGCTAATCAGGGCATCAATACCAAGCTTGAACTTGATGGTTTTAAAAATATTGAGCATTGAATGAGAAGTTAGTAAGAGTAAAATAATTATAATTTTTGGTGAAATTCCAATGAGTAGAAATTTGTATTTCTGACATTTCTTGACGTGCAAGTTGCTCCTTTTACATGAACTGTAAAAGTTGATTGCATTAAGTAATGAAACATCAGCAATACAAATTTTTACTCATTGGTATATTACCAACATTTATAATTATTTTACTATTACTAGTTAATCAGTTGTTCTATTTCTTAATCTATAAATAATTAAATTCATTCAAAAATATTTTGTGATTTGTATATTGTGGATGTTTTTATTTACTCTGATTAGTAAATTTTCCTTGTCTCCATAGTTAACGTCTCATGAACTTATTACCTAGTTGTTATATTAATACACATTACTTCCTTGCCGTGTGTGGAGCGGTAGTTTAGTGGCTAAGATGTTCGACCTTAAAGCATAGTCTCATATTCACATTCTGTTTCTCTTACAGCAGTTTAGGTAACCGGATAGTATCACTGTCCTTAAAACTTAGAGTGTGACTAATACCTAAGTATTTCATAGTTTTATACACCAACTTTGGTTAATACATTAGTTGAAAAAGATTTCGATGATACCTTAATGAGTTGCATAGTTTTTATGAACTTCAGCTACTTAATGGATTGTCTAAATTTATAAAAAAAAAAAACTACCTGTAGTAGTTATGTTTCTAAGCTTTGACTGTTAATAAAACCGGATAACTCATTTTTCCATCTAGCTTCAACAAAATTAAGTTAAAGGGAAAAAAATCAATATTCATTGGCTAAGAGAGTATTTGACCAGGGTTACAAAACCTAAACAAACTGATATAATGAGAGCGATGTCAGTAAGCTGTGAGATGATTGAATGTCATATCAAAGTAACTGATAAGTGAAATACTATTCAAATTTAAGAAAATAAAATTTTTGACGTAAAATAAAAGTAAAATATTTCACATCATTTAGATACATTAAAAGGTATCAACTTATTCGGAAACCAAACACAAACAATAAAGCTTTGTGTTTATTACTAATCGAGCACACTTATACGTTTAAGGATCTTAGCAAATACAAGAAACTAGAAGAATTATTAGGTCTTACATGTAATGAGATTCTAAGAGAGAAATGAGTTAAACAAGCAAAAACAAGATAAGTAATATAAGTTGTAAGTACTATTAATTATGTTGAACTGGTTGTTTATTAACAATAAAAATTTTATACGGATAAAATGTAAAAGAAAAACGCCTTACCTTGCTACTGTGTTAATAATTGGAGCGAAATTTGTTGGTCCATGAAACTTTACTGTTCGCAATGAATGGGCATAAGCAGCCATTGCACCTTGAATACCTTCACAGTAAGGATTATCCATATGTCCATTCTATGCATTGGATGATAATTTGTTCAAGGTCAACAAAAGAAGTTATGAAAATATGTAATATACTATTATTATCTTTAAAACATTGTGAATGTTATAAAACTAATAGTAATGCATAAAAAAACCCTATTTTTACTGCAGTGGAAAATTTAGCAAACATGCCCGCATATATGACTAGGAGCTTGATTGACATTCACATATGTAATGTTAATTTTCAAGAAAAGTATGCTGTTTTCAATGTACTCATACAAAAGAATGTTACAATATAATGGTTAAGTTTCCTAATTCCCATAGAGATGCTTACTTTTCACAATTCTATAAAAGTTCTTATGTATGTCACTAAAATAATTCTTTTGTTAAACTGACTGATAAACTAATGCACTTGTGTCATGAAGTCATAACCACATTAGGAAAAAGTAGTTTCATAAGAGAGAAAATTAATTTCAATTCACTGGACGAACACACTTAAATTTGTTGCAATGGCTACGATTAACATGTCCTGAATTGAGATACTACAAAGTTAACTGAACTTGTTGATGACATGTTAAGTAAAGACTTTTGTGATGAAATTAATGTGAGAAACAGTATTTGAATAAAAATTGTCTGAATAACAAACTATTTTAATTGGTTGAATTATTCACTTTCCCACTAAATTAAAATTATAAATATCTGTACATATCGTAGATAATGTGACGTGATTTATGTATTTAAGCAATGTGATCTAAACTAATAATACAATATAATAATAATATAGGATACATGCCACTTAAAAAGTACAAATTCGATTCCTTTGAATACAGTCGGTAATTATATAATCGTCAGCTGGAAACGATGAAATCAACGTTGCTCATTTCATCACATCCAGGATGCCTTAACTAACTGAACAATAATCCCTGTGAATGGTAATACTTACAACCAACTGAAGCATGTCATAAATCAACTGTACTCGACAAGCATCATCTACTCGGAGTTTGATATGAGTTTCAATTTTGAATATAATTTCACCAAAGCCTACACAAATCATATAACACATTGAGAAATTCATAAGTTTTCACGATTCTACTTTCAAAGATACCGAAATGCTTAAACTAATTATATTCATCAAACTAATTAAAATCATCAAGTTTTAGGCTTTGATTAACAAACAGTCATTTAGTTTGATTAATGTGTTATGAAATCGATTGTTCAGATTAGCTTGAAATTTGCTCAGAAGTATTTTTCTAGAAAATACGCATGCAGAAAATACACTGAAATAACAAAAAATCACAGAAGTAATGCTTTATTTTTAATATGTATATCAAATAATATTAGATTCGACAAACCAAATATTTAAAATAATTCATTATTTGTGCAATCTCTGATTATATTTTTTGATCAGAAATTCTAACTTCTATCATCATTCTAGATCATAAGAAAGCCTTACGGAATTCATCTTATAATCAGATAGCCCTGGTTATTTGTTTACTTATTTGCGATAAACAAAAACAATCTATAAAAAAAAATTAACTAGCAATCGATCAGTGACCAAACATTTTGACCAACCAAACTCTCCTAAATTCTATGAAAATAAAATATGAAATATAGCGATATGCATGATAGAAAACTATTAAAATTTGTTGATTAAAAATTATGTTTATCTTCAAAGAATAAATATTAAAAAAAAAAGCAGCTATCGAAGATGGAAATTAGGTGAATAATGAACAAATGGAACTTAATACAATGTTTATCAACAGCCAGTGGCATTTTAAATAATAAGTTAAAAATCATTAATTACTTGAATATAGAAATGAAATTAGGGAAATATGACAGCTAAAAAAAAATTAAAAGCTGATCAAAGCTATTAGTAAATAGGCGGGAAAATTCTGATAAAGAACAATGAACCATGTGATATATTATCAATATTGTAATGTTTCACTGTCAGCATCTATTTTCTATGTTTTGCATCCGGTAATTAAATAGTTCCAGGCAGTTAAATCTATACACTTTTATCAGGTACCATACCTAATTACACGAAGTTTCAGGAGGGATTTTTTTAAAAAGGGTACTTCATTTTTTAGATGGAAAGCTTATTGTTAGAAAAACTAAAGTAACTAATGTGTATTTTTTTAATGAGTTACCAACATTTACTTTACATTTGTCATGCATGAAACATGTGAAGATACTTTAAAAATATGGGATTATTGATATGATGATATGCATTGTTTTTATCGTTAATAGTAATTTGGATTAACATCGGCTTTTATTAATGTAGGAAACAATCAAAAGGAGGGAATTTAAATGGTCTTAAGGAGTCAATAAACTGCCGTACAACTAAATGGAATTAAAAAGCAAGACTGTTAATAATAACGGAATGATGTTCACATTTATTATGTTGGTGAGAATTTAATCCCAAACTTTTTATAAGATGTTTATTGATTAGTTAACTACATATGTTATTATCTGTAAGTAGTAATAACTTACAAGGAAACTTTTAATAAGGTACATATCTTAACCAGTTCAGTTACGTAATAGAACACTTAAGTGACAATAAAGGAAGGAAGTGAATACTGGGATCTTAAAAGTCCATGAATTACAGCCCTTAAACATGTAAGTGCATTTAGTGGGAGAGACCTTTGTAAACTTCCAGAATACCCGACTTAAATTTCATAACTGATAAGCCTACCTACAAGAATATAGATCAGATCAAAAATCAGTGATTATTTACAATGAGCTGAATAAAACTAAGGATTTTTATTATACGTTAAGAAGAAAAGGATGTATACGAAAATCAAGATCTTATGGACCAGATGAATAATTTATCGTTACTTAAATCGAACATTTGACAGTTCCATTTTTGAAATTCAACATTTAAATTTTCAGAATCACATAAAACAGGTTCTTCTTTACGTAGAGAAATTTTGCTTCGATTTTTCTCATACCAATGATATATGTACAAATAAATATAATTTAAACAATTTTTCACAAACATGATTTTAAGGTCAAAATCCGTTGACAATGAACACGCATCAAAAATATTTTAAACAAAGTTCACATCACGTGACCGAAATCGCGTTCTTTTTTTATAATGGGAAGTAGCGTGTTCGGAAAAAACAGTGAGAAGTGGATGTAGGAAAGCTAGGAAGGAATGAAGTTTGAAGCAGTGTAATAGAAGTCAATATTTTTTTTCCAGTTATTTATTTGTCTGTCTACCCATCTAATATACTATATACTATACAGGGAAGAGTAAATTAGAAAATATTAGGGGCAAAACAACAAATGAAATGCCAAAAAAACAATGATAAGACTAAATTATATACAAACTTTATCGATAAAAATTATAAGACAGTTAACAAGACTACTAGTAATAACAACTAAAGAAATAATGATAATCATTAATAATTAAGAGGAAATCTATAAGCTGACTTGATTATTGTTTTTCAGTTAAATAACAAATGAAAACAAGCAAATGACTAAATAGGCAAAAAACTTATGTATAACGAACAAGAGATAGGATTGCAATTGTACAAATAAACAAACAGGCGAGCCCAGATGTTATAATGACAAGAAATATTACATACTTTATACTTGAGATTGACTAGATATCTACGTGATATGTAAATTCAAACTATAAGACTGAAGAGTTAACACAATAAATTCCGATTGACCTATTGAATGGGATAACACTAAATATCTATGTAGCAGTCTAAACTTATATCGTTTGTGCTCCGAATTATAAAAATGTACACAGAAATTAATAGCGTATCATGGATATAAATAATGGAAAACAGAACCGAAAAAAAAGTAAGGGAAAGAGAATACAAGTCTATACTACGTACGTACGAAGTTTAACAATGTAACTGAATGACACTACATCCGTAGTTACACAAACACGCCACTGAAAAATATTAGTCGTATAGATGTTCTTATCAGTTAATTTTAACATATTTATTATTTGTTATGAACATGTTGCAGACCAAGTTTACTTTTTTGTTCAAATAAAACGCGTCAAGAACTTACTACTCTTCTTTCAGAAAACTCAAGCATATACACACTAAAAGAATAATTAGTGCGATGGCCAAGCCATCGACTGCCTCGACAAGCTATGTTTTACGGTGTATGGGGTAGGCTGGAGGATAGCTAGGGGTGGCCAAACCAAAACATCGCACAAATCCATTAAGTCACTGACAACTGGATTGAGCCATGTTGGTAGATGTAGACTACATGGTTGGGGTCCGAGAGATGATAGTAACCGATGGTTAAAAAGCTCGAGTCACATGGCTCAAAATCGTTTGCGATTGAGCAGGTGCAACCAATCTTAGTGTTCTCTCAAATTCGAGTCTTCCGAATACCTCTTCACAGTTATCTTTCTCCTTTGAAGTTTACTTCACTGGATTATATTTACTGAAAAATATCTTCAAACCCTAATCTCCATTACCACTAATACTTCTGCTACCTCTAGTACTATGGGATTTGAATCGACAATCGCATCTCTGTGCTCATGCGGTATGGAAGTTTGAAGTGATGTACGTACGTACGTACGAAGTTCTACGTTGCAGCTGACTGATTGACTGACAGGAAAGAAACAATAAATGCCAAAATTAAGCAACGAATAAAGACCTTATACCATTTCGATTCAACAATAAAGCACACAGGATTAGCAGATTATTAGCAAACGGTAACGCCAATGACTACGCAGACACAATTTTGAGGATCTGGAACATTAAGAAAGAGACTACGCTAACAAGTGGGAAGAATTATCAGTTACAGAAAAGAATTTCTGTGTAGTTTGTGTACCTCCTCAGTTTTGATGGACTAGTTAAATGTCAGGTTTGATTTTCTGTTAGGTGAGCTAGGTTACATAATGTCGAAAAGAAATTTTATTTAAGTTAAGTGGATATCTGTTGATTGATGACATTTCATACAACTCACTAGTCATAAACTCAGGAATGATTTGTTGTAAAATGTCGATGACTAATCACTCGGGACTGATAGTAATATCTACGATATTTCTATCCAGCGTTTATATTTTGTGTATTTAAAGCGTGATTTATTTCACGTTCACAGTTACTCAGCTTTTATAATCAGTCTATGTCGTAAGATTTTGAAGACATTTTACTGTTTACAATAGCATGGTTCATTAAATACCATTAACATATTTAGAAGTGATTCTGAAAAACTATGGAGAATCATGCTGATTTTCCATTTGATGATGAACGACTTTGTGATATGCTCCTTCTGTCATTCGATAAAGAGCAAAAACCAACCTATTTAATCAGATACTAAAATCATCGGCTAGTGAATGACTTGAAAAACCCATTATTTTACAGTTGATTACTTGTCTTGAATAGTTTTTCTTTATATTTGTTGTTCCAAATTATTGGGTGTCTTAGCTAGGTAGCCAAATGACTACCTTTTCGAAATCACTTAGGGAAATTGAGTCATTAAATTAGAATATAATTAATTGATAACATGAACAGAGTTTAGTCGGAAAGAGCTAGGAGATATGAACAGATTAACATGAATTCATCTAACTTCGTTGTGTTCTCTTCTGGTGCTTACAATCTATAGTATTTAAAAGTCATACTTATAGCCCGAGGTGTTATGAACAACCAATTCTGTAATCATGATTTTGATATACTTTAAGATCTGAGTATCTGACGAGAACCCAATGAAAGACGATATCAGTCAGTCAGTTGCAACGTAGAACTTCGTACGTAAGTACATCAGTTCATGTCGCCATACCACATCAGCACAGAGATATAATTGTCTATTCAAATCCAATAGTAGAAGAGGTAGTAAAGGTACTAGAAGTAATCGGAGAGGTTAGAATTAGAAGATATTATTCACGAAGTATGATTCAATGAGATAAGTTTAGAAAGTAAAAACTAGAGAAGTTGAAGAATCCAGAAGATTAGGATTTGAGAGAACACAAAGAATAAATGCACCGGCGCCATTGCGAACGATTTTGAGCCATGTCATTCAAGGTCTCTAACCATCGATTATTATCATCTCGCGGACCCCAACCAGGTAGTCGACAATTACCGACATGGCTCAGTCCACTCGTCAATGACTTCATGGATTTTTGCCATGTTTTGGTCTGGCCGCCCCTAGCTTTCTTCCAATCTATTCCTACACTACAAAACAAAGCTCGACGAGGCAGTCGGTGGTTAGGCATACGCAACACGTGTCCCAACCACCTCAACTGATGAAGTTTCACCACTTCATCGATTGATCTGCCATTCTTACCTAGTACCCGTTCCCTAATAACAGCGTTGTCCACTCGGTTGTCCCACGATATACGAGCAATGCTTCGAAGACACCTATGATCGAAAACCAATAACCGACGAGTATCTTCTACTCTCATTGGCCATGTTTCACAGCCATAAAGTAAGACGGAGAGAACCACTGCGCAGTACACTCGTCCTTTAGTCAGCAAACGGATATCTCGCCTACGCCATAAGTGACAAAGGTTGGCAAAAGCCAATCGAGCCTTCTGTATCGGTGCCGAGATTTCGTCAGTCACCAGGCCATCAGCACTGATGAGACTCCCGAGAAAAGTGAAGCGGTCTACACGCTCGACTACTTCACTCCTTATCACTAGTTCAGGTGCCGAAGAAACCCAATCTTGAAGCAACATTTTGCATTTCGAGGGGGAAAACCGCATCCCGAACATGCTTGCATTGTTGCTTAGGGTAGTCAGAAGACTCTGCATTTTGTCAGCGTCTTCACCAAGTAGGACTATGTCATCGGCATATTCTAAGTCAATAAGCGAGCTACCTGGTAAAAGGTCTACTCCTGAAAATTCAGACGAGGATAAGGTTATTTCTAGGAGCATGTCTATGATAAAATTAAACAAGAATGGAGAGAGTGGACATCCCTGACGGACACCACTTGAAGTAAAGAATTCCGGTGACAGTTCGCCATAAGCTCTCACTCGACCAGTGGTGTTTGAGTAGAGAGCTTGTATGAGGTTAATGTACTTATTTGGTACACATTTCAATGACAGACACTGCCACAGAACCTCACGATCCACTGAGTCAAATGCCGCCTTAAGGTCTAGGAAAACAACTATTGTAGGACGCCTAAATGTGTGTCTATGTTCCAGGACCTGTCTGAGTGTGAAGACGTGGTCTATACAACCACGTCCAGGTCGAAAACCAGCCTGGTTTTCTCGAGTCTGCTCTTCACGAGCTTTCGTTAAGCGTCGAAGTATTATTGAGGCCAATATTTTAGATACTATATTAGTTAGACTTATTCCTCTGTGATTGTCACAAGAAGACTTCTGTCCTTTCTTATAGATTGGGACCAGTCGGATGGGATTACGTCCAGTTCCCAGATTCTACCTAAGATCTCAGTCAATTTAGCTGCTAAAACTGGACCACCATCCTTAAATATCTCAGGGGTCAGTCTATCAGATGAAAGACGATGAATCCATGTTATTCTGCTCGAATATTCACCTTTTTTTCTACTCGTAATTACTATCACTCAAAATCCAAGCAGGTTCAGTACAAAGTCATAATACTTTGAATTCTTTTTCTTTTAACTGTCAGTGTTTGAGATCTGGGCTTTAGAAGTCAAATTATACAGCCGTAAAAAAAAAGTAAATAAAGATGGCTGATCTTCACAATACTTAGATGCCAGTATTTTATGCTGACGAATTAACTAAACTTCAGCAGCAGTCAGTTATCATCAAAGTAAGACACCTGCCGACATAGTTCAAACTACTATTTAACAGCTTTATGGACTGACACAAGCTCTATAAATTAACCTCAACGTTTGTTATAACTTACTCCTGAATCAGCCAACATTTTACAGTATGCCAGTCACTAAAATTAACATCCATGGTATAGCTGAATAAGATCTTTCAAATGAACTTTCATCTATTAATCATTTTTAATTTTGTTTAGTTGATAAGGTTACATGGTCTTTCATTTGGTTTTTATGATGATTAATAATAACATTTTTCGCAATAAACTTTTGAATTCATTCAATCAGATAAATGTATAAAGTCTGTATAATATAATAGTAAATAAATAGCTGCCAAGCTAGATCTTTGCTTTATTGATGTTAAACCATCCTCATTGTAATGAATTCAACATTATGAAGTTAATATCAATCGACAAGGTCAAATAGAACCTAACTTAAGTAAATAAAACACCAGGTGATAAATTATTTATTTCAAATAGAAGATAAAACAGAATTATCTACATAATTATTTATTCTCCTATGAAACAAAGAGAAAGTAACCTTTAGGATGAATATATATGGTACATACATATGATGTTGCTATTATTTTTATAATGCCAAAGCATAAAATGAATGTCATGTGTTGAAACCAAAAACATAAGCAAGCAATTTTGTGTCCATTTCAAACTAAACGCACCATAATTTAAATGCTCAACAACAAAAAGATCACAACCGTAAAAAACAACCAAAAATATCTCACAAACCCGGAAGACAGAAGATTCACACACACATCTCACAAGTTAAACAGTGAGGAAACCGATAATAGATTAACAATCTCATACCTAAAATTTAGCAAACTAGCGATGAAAATATGGTATGAATGACAGACAATTAATCCACGAACACAAGCAACAAAAATATTCACCGTAGCCTTGTCCAATGTTGCAACATATGTGTTGTCTAAATTGTGATGAGAATGGATAAACAAAAAACTAAATAATTACCAAATGAAAAAAAAAATCCGTTCAAAGAAACAAACATCAACTAACCAAAGGAAAGCAATGTGATACATTACTATCAGGTGGAATACAAGCACCGAATCCAAATGAAGGGAATAAATTATCACTGAAAAAAAGAACAGAAAAGATCATCATTAAATAAAATGGTTTCGTAGTTCATTTTTTTAATTAAATAAATTTCTTGTTAGCAATAATTTCCAAGGTAATTTTTTTAAATGTGTCAATCAATCTCTGTCTAAACAATCCAAATTTACTACTTTCAAGGCATTTTCAGTTGATGAATAATTTACAAAAGGAAGAGCTATAAAATAATACAGAAAGATACCTTGAGAGTAACTGCCACAGTACTCTATGATCTTACTGAGAAGAGAAATAGGAATAGTAGTTGAATAGCCAGAACAAGCTAAGACACTTTCATTTATGGATAGACTGCCTGAATAGTTCAACAATAGTCTTTCTGACTACATTTAGAAGCTCTACAAAAGTTTACATAGCTCAGACCACATTGATCTACAGTAATTTAAGTGATAGTATATAGTATAGAATTGGGAGATAACCTCAGATATGTAAAAATTATCAAAACATGTTTAGAAAGCGCTTCTCTTTGTGTTGTCTATTCTTAATCGTTCATGAGGAAAAGATTTTCATTCAACAGATCAGAATACCAATCTTGAAGGCTTTGTTTAGGTTTTATAAGAGATCCCATATTCCAACGTTAATTTTATCTAACAGAAGATTCATGGTCGACTGGAAATTAATTTGGTGAGGGATTCATTCCAGCAACGTAAAATAAAAAGTATATTATCACTGAGATTTTGTGGAAAAATAACTTGAAATTAATTTTTACAACCAGTATCATAAGTATTCCTCAGAACAGATAAGGACGTTGTGTGAACTGTCAAATGACTACTGAAATCATTAGGAAGATACCAAAGAAGAAATCGTTATGTCTTAATTACTCAGTTGTAAGAGAATGACTATATATACAAAACATTGACTAGAAACGAGTAATTAAGTGTACAAAAATTATCAAAGAATGTAGAAAATCCCCACCGACATTTACACCTTAAACATAACCTGATTGAACTTTATCCTTTGGTTTCTACAAAAGTTTTAAGAATAATAATTAACATTACTAAAATCCTGTAAAGGTAGGGAAACAACTATATACCATAAGTGTTTTCTTTAGAGTACAAGTCAAAATGTTTCTAATCATTATAACTCTACACAATGTTGTCATGTAAATTTCTTTCCGCTCTTAGTCGAGAAATCCATATTGAGTTTACGTATATCTCAGAATAAACCAATAACATTTCAAGAACATAAGTAGAAGATAGAGACTAACTAAAACAATGAAATAGACGTAAGAAGAAAGTTGATTGAAAAAATTTAGTAGAAGGGAAAATGCATATGCAACGACAAACCGGAATTCTCTGAAATTAGAGTCTCTGGATCAGATAAATGAACAAAAAGCCGTATATTTTCACTGATGAACAGTTACAATTTTTAAATATACATTACTTACCTATCGTAGTCACTAATTATTTCTCCTACAGCTTGTAAAGCTACTGCATATTGTGATGGTTGAGTAACTGTACTGTAATGTAATGTACCAGGAACTTGTGGGCTACCATTACTTGCTGTAAAATCTATTGCAATACAACAGCTTAGTTCAGTACTATATTTTTTTAAAAAAAAAAGCAAAAACATTTCATTAGGTATATTTATCTTTATTGAAGCCTTTGCTAAATTCTAAATGATTGGAAAGACTAAATTTCTTTATTATATTAAAAATATTTCTTGGAGAGATAAAATTATAACTACATCATTTTAGATTAAACAACCAAAGTGTTTCATAAGTAATTTTGAGTATATTTCTTCTAGTTGACTTTATAAGTCTACAATAACTACATAAGTGTTTATTTTAGCTGAAGGTTTCTGAGGGATGAACAACAATTATCGAAAATGCTTAAGAAGTGATACTGTTTTTAACTGGTTTACGATAAAACATTTTGAATCAAATAACTTCTTTTGCAAATATCTTATTTACAAACTTTGACCATAGAAATGATATCATTGTCTAAATTTTGGTGGTATATATATTAAATCACTCCATTTCATCACTCATTGTGTTATTTGCATCGAAAGGTTACATTGATTAAGTCATGGTGACTTATGTGAAAGTAACTGTTGGTACTAAACTAATTAAAACTAGGTATTGATTTTATTGAAATAATTACATCGCATTCAACTTCTATAAACTTGTTATAATCTGTAGCCTTATAGATAAACCTTGAACTGTGTACGTATAAGACCTGACCCTACACTTCAAATCTATATTTTATCTTTTCGTAAAGTAAAAAAATGTGATCATCAAATGAATTAAACTTTTTCAAGTGATGAGTAGTTTTTCTGCGAAACTATAAACTTAATTTTACTGACTGATAACAAATTATGCGGATCTCAGTTGAAAGTCAGAAAACCACTACAATTTTGTGAATGAACACAATTTAGTGCATTTTCAAACTTTTAAAACTAAGAAGAGATTAATTCACTTGTATTGGCCATAGATGATAAGTCAGTCTGGCATTCTGTGCAACATGTGCAGATTGCCGCATTATTGCCAATGAGCCCTTGTTATTCCAAAGGTGTATTAAAAAATGGTTATTTTAACTAGTCTCGTCATTGGCTAATAACCTAACATAATATTACATACAGAATTTAACAATCTAAAATAAACCGGATTATTGAATCGTACGAATATTCATCTAAATTTGAAGTAATAATTTCAAACTAGTTTGGCATTGGATTAATAGCAGACTTTCAGAAATTTTAACTTTCGATTATATTTCCTTGAAAAAGCTTAAATCAGATTGACGAGTGAAATGCTGAATTCATTTTAAGTTCAATCGATGAGATTTTTACAAACATAATCTGATCATTACAGAAGTAATAGAATTTAGAAAAAGTGAATACTCATAACTCGTACCCTCCTTGAACATATTCCAGAAAGCTATATACCTTTTCGATCCTGACCAAATTCAAATATAGCTGTCAAAAACAGTGGGGAAATTGAAGAAACAGAAAATTATGTATTATACTTAAAAAAGAGTAATATGATGTTTAATATAACTCTAGAGTATGCATAATAATGGATTTACAGAATAAAAGATAGGTAATTACCAAACAAAATTCACAGATTTCGGTGATACTGTGAAATTTAAATATATCATACGCTGATAGGATAAAAATCAAGATCAAGTTTACATTTTCTAATTAAAATAGTAAGTCGATGAAATCACTTGAAATTATTTGATTTATTAATTATTTAGACTGCAAAACTAATTCAATATCCTTTATCCTATACGCAATATAACACACTTCACAACCCTGAATATTAGTATAATTATCGATAATGAAGGCTATGCTAATCAAACATGGATAAAAACCAATCCAATATCGTCGTTGTCAATCATTCAAGGCAAAAACGATGAATTTATTGTATGTCGTTGCTATCTATCCACAAATAAAATTCTGAACAGAAGGAATCAAAACTCTTCACCAAAGCAGATGAAAATCAAGCACCAACTCTTTTAATTACAAAAGTTAGATTTAGACTTTCTGGCTGTTTTGGTTTCTACGGATTTTGTAATGTTGAACTGGACTGTTTGCTTATGATTTTGAATGCTTTCAACGGAAATCATTTAGACTCTTACTCAATTAGACATCATGCTATTATTTAAAGGAACTAAATCTGATGTTTCGAACAGACTGTGTTACTAAAGACATCGTATCATAAAGAAAATTCGATTTAGTAATTTCGTATAAGTTCAGAATTGTTTAGATTGCTAATAATAACAATAAAGAACGAGCCCATATAACCCTAACATTCAGAGGTGATTTAAATAGTCTTATGCTGAGGCGAAAACTTAAATTAGCTATCAATAGGACATTCAAAGCAGCCCGACTCGTCATAATGGAAAAGTCAAGGTGCATGTTTCACCAAAAACCCAAACAGCATGTAAACGATTGTCACATTACGCTGCATCCATCATTTTACATGTATGTGCGGAAACACATAAGGAGCAATCGTGATCTTCAAATAAGGATGATAGAATACATACCTAAATGACTAAGAAAACAAACGAATTCTGATAATCAGATAAGATTACAGGTTAGACAGATGTCATACTCCATTTAGTTGAGACCGATCATAAGGTTGATATTAAGTCAGCCTTTGTGGTGTTATACAAAATTATTCAGCTGCATATATCTAGCTTCATAAAAGCCTTAGCCATATGGAAATTGAAACCTCCTTTAGGTGCTGAAAAGCAGTTTGTCCTTACCTTTAGCTTACCTTGGTAATATTTATTTATCATTCAGCTCTGTTTTCACATTGTTTACTTTATAGTTATTATTCTTTGCTTCCCTACGCCTTTAATTTGCAAAAGTTGACCTTTATATTTTTCATTTATAATGTCTTAATATATGTGACCAGATTGTTCGAAATGCATTGCGCAAACATCTGATAACTTTCATCTTCTCATTGGATTATCCGAATCAACTTTCAGTCGCGTCCATAATGTTTAAACTGACTTGGTATACCAGAGCAAAATTTAAATATCAGATGACATCGGTCACTTGATAACTTAGGAGCTCAAGGAAATAATTTTCAATTCTAAACGCCGAATACACTGCCTTTTCTAACTACAATAAGTTGTTACTTACTTTTAAGATATAGATTAAATATTTTTATTTCACTTGGGTGCAATCTAATTATCTAATGAATTAAGCTAATGCTACTTTTTATGTTGTCCGTTTTCCTTGAAAGATGCTGCCTATTTTCAAGCGATGTTCTAAAGATAAAAGTCTAGTAATCTAGAAACGTGCAAAGAATAAATTTGTCATAGTTTTAAGTACAGATTTTATCAAGATAGCAGCCTTACTTAGGCATTCTTAGGTGGAATGAAACCCACAAATAAATGGCATATTATTCGAAAATCTTCTCTAGAACGTTTAAAAAATAGAAAGAAGTTGCGGACCTATGAATTTTAAGGGTTAGAAAATATCAACTTTTTTCTACAGCTCCATGAAATCGTAACATCATTTGGATTTTAGGAAATACAACGAGATGTTGAGATCTGAAAATTACTAATGATGTCAATACACGGACTGTTATTTATAAATTTTTGAAATGAACATGGTTGTAATATTTGTTATATCGAAATATTTTAGCAATATATCAAACAAAAAAAGATGAACTATCCAAAATGATAATTATTAATAGGTTTGAGGAATTTACAGAAATTACTAAATTTAATTTGTTTGATACAAACGTAGGCGTAAAACATGATACCGGTACTTTTCTGTATCGCTAGAACGTGGTTTAAGTGACGTGACAATTAATAAATAGCTTCAACTCAATAACTAAGTACAGGTATGTGCACTTAACTGTGAGTAAAACATTTTTTAGTAAAGGTCAGTGATATTAATCAGGTACCAGTACCGAAGAAGATCGATCGAGTACAATGTCCCTATAACTTAACCACCCATTCAATTTTATCGAACTCCATCAAAAAATTTGACAGTAAAACCTTCATTCTTTCACATCTCAGTGGGAATGAAAAATTGAGAATGTTTAGAAACGCGTAACGGACTGCATTCGGTCATATGAATCAGAAAGTTGTTTTAATATCACCAAATTAGAATATAATAATCAACATAACATCCCAGTTTTTTGAACATTAAACAAACAAAGGCATACAAAACTCACAGTTCCAGAATTTTGATAATGTTTATGTCTTTTTGCTTTATTGGGATTAATAAGCTAATTAAAAAGAAGTAAGACAAATTTAAAGGAATACGTTACGAGTTTAATTGACAAAAGCTCGCACAACATAATGATAAAAATACACAACATTTAATTCATATGAACTGAATAACAGATTAACATGATCAAAACAAGTGGAAAGAATACCATTGATAAATACAATAATGACAAGCAATTAACTAACTTATTACGTAAAAATTGATACAACAATAGAAATCCTAATTCTATTGAAACACTTCATTCGACTTTTGACTTATTGTTATTTGACTTTCAAAACTATTTTATTCAGAAGGATAGATCGATCACTTCTATTATGATTGATCTGTAAATATAAATATCAGGAATAGATGCCTCGATATGGTTCATATTAGTACAGGTATGTGGGCTTTTTCTTACTATGACCTGTCTTCATATCGCTAAAGCAGTGATTACCGTATTTCTTCAACCTAGTAAATGACTGAGTATAATTCGAAGTTGTCAGTGATAGGAAAAAACTAAACCAAAAAATGTGTTTTAGGAATAGAATTTAGCTGTACTTGTCATATAACAAGAAATAAAAAAATCCCGACACCAATGAGATGTACAAAACCTGACTCATTAATTTGCTCAAAAAAATAATTAACTTCTGATATGCTAGTAAATTGATGAAACATCATCTCGAAAAGTAGTAACTTCTCCATCATAAAATAATTTCTACTTAATTAACGTTATTCTTTAGACGAGTTCATAAGTATTAGAAATTCTTCTATCAATTATGTTACGTAATTCGGTAGAACTGATTTACATACTAAACAGTTTTTTGTATTTCTTTGTTTTTAGAGTGAATCGAAGACTTAAGAGCAATATTGCGAAATTGTCCTCCACTTTTCGGCGCACGAGGCTTGTTCCAAGTAAAATAACTAGAAAATTCCGTAACTAATGCTCGGCTCCCAATTTATGTGAAACTAATCGTTCAACTTAATACATTTCTCTTATTGAATAGCCCTGATCGTAATATATCTCCAAAATAAAGATAAAAATAACTAATATTGCACTTCTCGTTGTAAGAGCTAACATACATAGATAAACACATTTTTATCAACTAAATAATTACTTACATTAAGTGAGTATATCCCATTGTTAAACATAGTTAACAATTCATTAGCAGATGTAGTAACTTCACCGATTAAACTTTCTCTAAAATAAATATTGTTTGTATTACATAAAATAGGCACAAAAATACAAAACTAGACAAACAAAATATGACGATAAGAAGAGTTTTAATTTATTATGTAAAGCACCACAAATATAATGCAGCTAAAACCAGAATTTTTAGTACTACTTTGAGGGTGGAAACTATGATAAGCGGGACTTCTATACCTCGTAGTCACACTTTGCTCGTTACACGACACTAAAAATAATTCCGAAATATACCAACAGACTGTTTGCATCAGGTTTAATATACAGTTAGTAAATAGAATCGCTTACCTTCCACTTCTGTTCCAGTCAATACAAGCAATTACCAGAGGTCTAAAAAATGACATAAGCATTGAATAAAACCTAACTAAATGAAGGTCAATTAGAGAGATATCAACTAGATTATAATGTGAGTAAATCAAAAACAACCATGTGAACCCATTTAAAATAGACATAATTCGCTTGATTGGTTATTCAACAAATGAACACATAATAGATGAGTATTTCTGAAACACTTAAGATCAAAGGACAAATTCTTTCGATAACTGCAATAGGTGGTATGAAATTGAAAGAGAGGAGGTGAGGATAGTCTAAATAATTCAGTTCATTAGCTGAGATCAAAAAAGATACCTAACATAAAACGGGTACACTTCTATGTCAGCCAGCATCATGTTATGGTAAGTGGTGGTTAAGAATGTGCAACGTACAGATTTTTCCCTGCAGAGACTAATAATAGATTTACATCTCGTTTCCAAATTGTCGCATTTCGAAATGTTGAATAAACTAGTGCAGTTTTTATGATATACTACAAATAAGGTTACAGAGAGGCATATTCTTGATAGGTTCGCAGATTCATAGAAATCTAAGGCTACTATTCGTAATGCAGGTAAACATCGATGGGTCCCATGCTAGGACGTACCGGCATTTCTGTGTTTCCAACTTTCGAACGGTAGTATAACACTGATTGATTCATGACTTCAATGAAATATCGAATAAACAGAAAACTACTTACCTGTCATGATCACCATTACATAAAAGTTTTAATGGTATAATCATCTGCTCCCAGTTTGGATTTAAAGTGTTTCTTATCTCTTTTGTTCGATAAACGACTGTTCGACTTTTTGGTAATCAAAAAAAATAAATTTAATGCAATAGAATCAGCCAAAAACTATCAAAAATTAGTAAGTTTCCCATCATACAGGATATGTGTAAAGACAAAAAGTGACGCGAATACAATACGAAAATCAATGGCATCTGGTGTGAATTACTACAAAGTACCAACACTTGGAAATCAGTGATAAGCGTAAACAAGTTTTGATCCTCAATATAACAGATAGTGAACCAAAAAATACAACCAGATATACACAGTCATGAGATAAACTATAATAAATCATAACAACCCTCATTACAAGACACTAGAGTTATAACATTAACCCACACAATCAAAAGTCAGTGGTCGTAACAGTTTATAAACTATAGACTCAAGGTAAGAGAGACAGTAAAATCCTGTGAAAGAACATTACAACAGGTGAGATGGTTAAAATCTATTCATTGGTCTAACCCTTAATGTTCAGCATGTAGTTTTGAGTCAACCAAAGAAAGGTACATCGTGAAAATTAATACAAGAAAACTCAAAAGTGAAGCTCAAATATAAAAACTCTAGAAATGAAACCTCTTCATTAAAAACCCTGCTGTTTAAAGAACGCTCAATAAAAATACGATGGGAGTGGTATTAATTCTGATGTCAACTGTTTGGGAATGTTTAAGCTTCCGGTTGTGTGTTTTATTAAATTCTACCGATGGAGTGATAGCTGCACAGGCTGAAACTCAACACAACTACTGTTCAATCCAAAATGTGATATTAGGAAGTTGAAATCAGATAAGTAAATTAAATGTTAGCAAATTGATTTATAAGAAATTTCAGAGTTAACAGAACCCACCCTAAGTCAACGATTCCCCCTAACGAAGAGTCTTATCCAATCTACAAACTCACTCAAACCCTAATGGTATATGAAGGATGGTAACACTGATTGGTCAATATATTTATAGTTTAGTGGCCCCTTACAGAGACAGATTTTGAAGAATTGCTCAATGAAACTAGGAAAATTTCGGCGTTTTCCTATTGATTACTTACCTTCCGTCTTCATTCACACGGTAAAATGCGAGGAAAGGGTCAGATGACCCAAATATGTCTTTTTTGTCCAACATTCTCCCAGAAATGTCGAGTGTTATTTCATCCTGGAAAAGCAACTAGGATAAACGGTAGCTTACTCTACAAGAAGAAACTTCCTCCGCAGAAACTAAAAATGTCTTTGATCAGAATGAATGAGCTACTTACTAATAATTGACCCACATTCATCCGAAGGACCATTTCTTAAAAACTGAAAAAAGTAGAATTTGAGCTTACTTTAAGGGTTTACTAATCTTTCCTGAAGAGGCGATTTCACCCAGAGTTGTCTCACAATGGCCCAGAAAATCCTATGACAGTAAATAAACGGAAAGTGCTTACATGTTTTTCTAATTTGTCTGACTTGCAATCAACATCGTATCTAAAAACATATCAAAACAGGATTTTATTGACTAACACAGCAAAGTTTAAACGTTGTTGCTCCTCAAAATGATATTCCATGACAATCTTCTTAGCAAAATCAGGATTTAAATTATTATTGATGATTTCCGTTCTATCTAATTCAACCCATTGATTATCTAGAAACGATTTTTCAAACACAACAACAACTAAGACAAATTATAATTCTAAATGAACAAAACACACGTGGATCAGATTTCGATAAAACATCAGTATCGCACAAATTCCTGAAGTTTCAATGAATCGCCATACTATACAACCAACCTGCAAGCTATCGAAAGTTCTACAGTCGTAGAATATGATATATCTTGGTCCATATTATTTCGAAGATTGTACCGGTACCCATCACTCACACTAACCCATCACCTAAATTCACCATTTTGATCCCAGCGCCTTTCCAATATATCCAATATCTTTATCTGGAGCCAGTATAAACCAACTGATTTCTTCGCACTCGGTTCTTGTTCTTTCGGGACTGTTCTAAGTGTCTGTTGGAGTCGAATGAATAGTAGTCTACGCACTCGATTGCACTAATTTCAGTCAGTTGGCAGCTGCTCGTGAGCTGGCATGTCCTGAGTTTTGAATGAAATCGTTTGTTTCAGGCCAGTAGGGTTTCTGGATATCAGCAGCTATCACATGATCAGACCGGAGATCAGTTAGTTGCAATGTGGAGAATATTAAGGAGAGAATTCTAATGCTAATAAGAAGATTTCAGAACTAAGATAGATAGATCATTTAGGTTGACTATTAGTAGTGAAGATTGTGTGAGAGAATGAAGTATAAACAATGGAAAGGAAACTGAGGTTAAGTCAGTGATCTGAAGAGATGGCAATAACAACGACTAACAAGTCTTAAGATATGCATAAGGCACAGCTTGTCCACGAGGTAGAGGATATTCCGTTTGTGAGTACGTGTTTATCAAGTCTCTTCTTAAAGCTCTCCACTGATGAGACGTGGTCAACACGTCTGGGAGAGCATTCCAGATTGCAACTAGTCCTGGTGAAAATAACTGTGCACGAATCAGGGTATTATCGTTATCCAACAATGAATATCCAGATATATTTAAAGATCACAGCTAACTCTAGACATTGCTGTCTTCTGAATCCCTACGAACCTAAAGTATGATGGCACTACATCGTATTAACGGTGTTCGTGGAACAACGCCTGAAATATTAGCCATCGATACTTTTGAATCTACAATCAATTTTACACCTCCATTTAAAAAAATTTGGCGAATGTGGCTTTTTCATTTCTTAGATTACGCTTAATCGAACATGTATTCAAGAAATTTTGTGCTTTTTCTTCGGCTTTCTGTTGCAAGATGATGCTGTTTCACACTGAACCATATTAATGATCATCGAAACGAGTGAAATTGTAAGCAAATGATACTGTGATATCATACTTTCCTCCATCACTTTGTACCTACAACACTTCAAGTTAAATGCTCGTATGCTCAAATCGGAGTTTATTCTTTAGTCCGAATGGCCTCTTGATTTCTTCTCCACAAATACTTACATGGAGAATGATATTATCATATATGTGAGTCATCGTAAAGCCAATTTTTCAGGCGACATCACAAGTAAGTACCGGGCTAACCATTCGTTTAGATTATAATTTAAGGAATCATCCCCAGAACATTTGTTATCGGCTAGATACACAAAAACTAGTAGTTATGGCAGATTAACACTAAATCCTAACGTTAAATAAATCCGTATAAAAATTGCTACCTTCTCACTGAATACTTATTACTACTAGAACCTACAGCATTGAGGTTTATTTCACTATGTGAAATCTCATTAAAAGCAAACGTAACTGCAGATCTTTACGATCATTTCACTCGGTTGACCATGGGCTATACTAAACGTGGATGCTATCATGACGTGGAGGTCAGGCTTGCCTTACTTAATGGCCAAACATACGTTCCTACAGGTCCTACAACACCAGGCACGTAGACTGTAAAACCGTAAGATTAAAAGCAGCAACTCAAAGTGTGATGATGAAGTCGTACTGCTGATTACTGTAGAGGGATTTGACAGCAGAAAAATGTTTCCTTCGAAAAGCCAAAATCTTCAGTGATGCTGCCTTATCACAGAGAATGTAAAGGAAAGGAAAGGTAAACCTTAAAGATGTCAAGCCTCACTTTACCTCACAGATTTAAGCCTCTGGCCGTAAGGCTTTTTAAACAAGAGAGCAGCTAACACTTTAAAAAATTCCTTACTCACATCCCTTCACCACTCTCTTTCACTAGTGCTAATGATTCGAGTTCATGAAACGTCATTCCTGGTCTCCTGAAACCCCGTTCTAAATTACATGTTGAAGCTTTTTCTGTCCGGATATCTTGTCAAATAGGACAACAGGCTTCCTTAGCTTGGACATAAGAATCTCGCACCATCGATGTATGTTGCGTCTCCAAAACGCGCATACACGATCCGATTAGCGTGATTCATTTGACCTCACTGTTACGTTCAATTTTTTGCTCCTTGATCCTTAGAAGCACTGTGTGTCGATCTATTTGCAATCCATGAATCCAAAGATTATATCAAAACGAAAATCCAAAGTAGGTACCAAAGTTTATTGCCAATTCACAAATAATCGACCAAAATGTTGTTTGTTTATTACAAACAGACGACCAATGTCGTTCTAACAACAATAATTATAATAATTATAATTACCTTCTATTTTATAGATTCATGGAGCAAAAAACTGCAAACGAACAAACCAAGACAAACAGGAGTCGAAAATGGCCGAAAGTAATAATTCAAACACGTTCATAAGTTAAGTAAAACAAATATAGCCAAAAAACACAGTGAAATTAATGATATATATAAAGGTTTTGATCAGCAAAATGTCTTCTTTTCTCCCGTAACACTCACCATGTCAAAATAAAGAAGCAGCTCAATTTGATCTTCGTGTATCTGGAAGCCCTGATGCTGCTTCCTATGGCCTCACTTATATAGGTGTAGTATTAGGTCCTAGGGCAGAACTAGCTATCTTAGAATGGATGCTGGTGGACAGTCACTTATGCGCTGTCCGACTAAACAGGACAGTATGGACTCATAAAGTTAGGGAAACTCGCCGTTGCCTCTTCGTCGTCTCCGCCTACACTTCCACTGACTTTAGCTCAGACGAGATAAAATATGAGTTTTACAGGAATGTTTTGAACCTTCTTCGAAAACGTAAGCGCTCTGATGTAACAGTAGTGGCTGGTGACTTCAATGATCAAGCACGCAGACTAAATAAAAAGAAAAAACGTCTGGATGGATCTTATGGTGTCGCGGCCAATCGAAAAGACAATGACGACCGTCACCTGCAGCTACGCTCAGATATCCGCCTATTTCTAGCAAACGCTAACTTCAAGCATAAGGAAAAACATCTGGCGACCTCTAAAGCCGAACCAACTAGATCACATCACCATCAGCCATCGATGGAGAGGCCATAACGAAGACTGCCGCTCATTCTGGAGCTTACTTAGATTCAGACATGCTCTAGTGCTAACGCCTATTTGTTTGAGGCTTACTGGACGTATGAAAGACATCACGAGGAAACTTCTCAGTGTTCTACCTAATCATAGCAAATCTGAGGACATTCTCCATTGACAACTAGAAATGCAGTGAGACGGCCATTCAAGGGATTTTCACCCCGGGGCAGCCTGAAATGGCATCCAAAAGCCGCGGAACAGCAGTGATCTCCGTTACTAAGTTAAACCACAATGTAACGAAGAAGCCATGGATCTCACTAGCATCTAACGAACGGGTGAACTCTGGGTAACTCATCACGTCTGTCAGTGAACATGTAGAAGGGCGGTGAAAGCGATCATTGATGGGTGGAGAAACAAACAGCAATGGAAAAGGGGGTAGCGATAGGTAACAGTAGGCAAATGTTCCATGTTATCAAAGAATTTGAAACTGGGAATCCGTCAGTTAGCGAAACTCCCTCGGTTAGGGCATTCCGCTTCATTCATCCTCAAGCATGGCTATTGAGACGACGGGCAAAACACTTCAGGGATCAATTCAACAGGCATTCAGACAAGCTTCGCCTGCTCACGGTCTCCATGGCCAAATCATGTAAGTTCTCCGACTCTTGATGAAGTTGCAATGGCTACAGGAAATCTAACGCGGGTTATAGCAGCAGACCATTAATAGCTTACCTCTGAGATTTTAAAGGATGATTTTTAAAGAAGGATAACGATCCCTTTAGGACAGTCAAAGGTATCAGTATAAATAATACGGTGTCTCGATAATACTCAGATGCCCAATTACAGCTCGTGATGAGCGAACTGGAGAGAAATAGGCTGGTTTTCGACCAGTTCATGGGTGTAAAGACCAGATATTCGCTCTTCATAAGATCCTGGTTAAAACACATGCATTTGGAAATCCCACAAGGGTAGTATTTCTCGACTTTAGAGCGTCGTTCGACTCCTGTGACAGTGTCGATCACTGAAAGAAGTATATTAGACTTTCCCAAGCTCTGTACTCAAAAACTACTGATCGAGTGAGAGCATATGATGAATAGTCATCAGAATCGATGATTTCAAATGTTGTTCGTCAGGTCCATCCACTGTCTTCTTGTTTAAATTTGCCATAGAAATGCTTTTAAAGTTAACATTACCATTGTCCGACTTTTCGAGGTTGAACCTTCCACCAGGAGATTTGCCTGTAGACTGAGAATATGCCGATGACATAGTTTTATTTGGTCAAGACGCTGACAAAATGCAGTCTTATAAACACCTTAAGCAACAATGCAAGTATGTTCATGATGAGGTTTTCCCTTTCCAAATGCAAAATGTCGCAATAGGATCGGTTTGCGTCGGCACCTTAACTAATGGTAGGGACTCAAGCATTTGAGCTTGTTCAGTGCGTTCTCATCAATGCAGGTGGCCTGGAGTGTGCTACAAAACCTCAGCACGGATACAGAAGGCTTGATAGATATCCGTTACCAAACAAAGGATAGGTCTACTGAGCAGTGGTTCGCTCCGTCCTCTTTTATGGCTGTGAAACATGGCGGGTAAGAATTGTTGATATTCGTAGGTTATAATATTCGATCACAGGTGTCTTCGAAGAGTAGCTCTTGTATCACGGGAAAAGCGAGTTAGTTATGCTGTCGTAAGGAACCGAGCATCCAGTAGGGATCAATAAAAATAATAATTTATCCTCATACAAGATGTAACAAGAGGCATTCCAGTTCACAGGCAAGATCAAAATTTTATAATTGCTGACATATTTTCCGTAAAAGGCTTTTCAGTTACTTAAGTATTTTGCAAGATTCACTGGCTTCAAACAGATGGCTAAACGTTATCTTATAAAGTTACAGATAATGTTGCAGACTCTGTAATGCACAATATGATAGTTGGCACGAGTAACGACGATTGTGTCGCAACAAACCACTGCTGGTTGAGAACTCACAA